AAGTTTTTTTTGAGTTCGATCTGCGTATTCTCGAATTGACATGAAATGATATTTGAAGCATTTTCCAAGAATAAAAACCTTTTTTTTTTTCATCGTTGGCACACAACACACAAGAAATTCCTGTCACAGTACAACTGAAGCGGTAGAACTTTGGGTATTATTTATTTTCCACTTCGTTGCTCAGTTATGGAAAATAACACTGCAGCGGATCTGCATAATTTTATTGAGGATTTATGGGCTCCAGAATTTCTATGTTAACCACCACCTTCAAGTGGCAATGAAATGTTTTCACGTTTGTTAAATACTATACTCCAGAATTCTCAATATTGCACAAATCAAAACGAAAGAAATCCCACAAATCTTAAAATGCGTGTGACAAAAAAGATAAATTACTTTTAAGTATTTCTTTTATATAGGATAAAATTGAAACGCCATGGATTAATTGGAAAACTATAAACCAAAACAACACGGATCTTTCACTGAGTGTCGTGTGATGTGACAGAACCGACAAATTTTCATGCTCTTTGATAGTGTTAGTGAAATTTTGTTATATTCTCTTTTTATCATTAAAATATTTTTCTTCATTCGTGCTGTCTGTTTTTACCTTTTTAGAAGGGTGAAACTCTCGGTACGAAAGGAAACAGATGGTTAGAGTAATATTAACGTGGTTTCAATGTTTTTGGAGATTTTGAAATGGGCCATCTCACCCGTAGGACCACCTCTTCCAGTATATACCCAGTTCACAATTATGTGGGCAACCCAAAATTCAATTCACTATTAGTTATGCACAATTAAAATGATTTTTGTTAATACACCTGCATCAAACTCCCATGATTTAAGATTCCCCCGACCAAAAAAACATTTTTTCCAGTGTCAGCCTGTCTTATTTAGTAACCTTTCGTGGCGCGATTGAAATCGAAACCAGCGGCATAATTCTCTATTAACTGGACTATTATATGAACCTTTTTTTTGCTCCTTTTTAGTTTCTGATGTGTGTTCGGACCCCTGCCACGTCCAGGCTCACGGCCGGCCAGCGATATTTCAAAAGCATAAAATTAACCCGAGGCCTGTTTTATAAGATAACTAACTATGTGCACCAAAGGAATTTAAATCGGGCAGAATCAAACAGTAGCAAAGCGAAGGTGACACACGGCTCACCCGACCGGAAGATTTGACGGCAGCCTTTCTTTGGATGAGGCATCGTTCCCAAATCGGCACAGGACCGTATCATCGAGAATTATAAGCGAAGCGACGAATTTTACATAATGTTGCACAGATGAAAAATGATTCTGGGATTTAATCCTTTCGTTTGTTGAATTCCGATGGTTTGCATTGATCTAGAAGCGTAAGCACTGAAAATACCAAGGACGACGTTGGCGAAATACGCGATTCCAATCGGAATTCTACTAACGAACAGATATTTTGAAATAAATTTTCATCACAACAGTACACGCCTTCTATTTACAACAGTATATTAAGCCACAAGTTTAATAAAAGCCATATTAGCCACGAGTTTCATTTCTCACGAGAGGAGCGCAGTGAAGCGTTTACCAAACGCTAGTGACTGATAAAGTTTATCGACGAGTTGTATACTAAGTACATTTTTTCCAAACAAAAATCAGGTTACAGCACAAACAGCACAAATGCATTTTCTGGGTGACGTGCGATGTGACCATCAGAGGTGACAAACTTCGCCGTACTAGAATCTTCCGAAAACATCGGATCGCTCCAAATCACGTGGTCAACGTCGAATTTGGCTCACGACAATGTTTAACGAACCTGATGTCTTAAAATGACAATAACTATTTTAGAGTAGGTAATGGAAAAACTCAATTATTAAGTTTAATGCACCATGTCTGTGACAAAAAAAAACTCACATTCCATAAATTTGGTTTCATGTCCTCTTCGCAAATATTCTAGCTCTAAGAAGAGTTTCTGAACGACCATCATTATATTTAGAAGCTCTAATTTGGTGCTAGTGTATTTTTGAAATATGCCAAAAAAGGCAAGTCAACTGATGATCTCACGTGTTTCGCGATTAACTGGTTATCTACGAAATACTTTTTTAACTAATAAACCATAAATTGAAATCGATATTATTAATAAAGTTCTTATTTATCATGCTTTCAGGGCTAAAATCAACAGATTTTGAACTGATTGTCAGGTGATTTTCAAAGAAAAATTGATTGCCTACTTTTTCTTACCTTAACGAGAATTTAAAAGTTTCGGCTTCATTATTTTTTATTTCAGAGATTTCCGAAAATAATGAAGTTCCAAGAATAACCAATGCTGTATTTTTTTTTAGTTTTTAAAGTAAACAAATTATGTTACGGAGGCTCATCTAATTTAAGTTTACTTCCGAGATTTTAAAAAAATCCCAAAGTTTTCCAAATATGTGGTTGTAAACTGTTTTGAAACATTTTCCATAATTTGTTTCTAGCAAGTGCGTGTAGTAAACGTCATTTGAATCACGAGTTTATTTGGCACAAGCGGAGCGAGTATTTAATATACAAGTGACTTAAAAAATTTATTAAACGTGTTGCATACTATACTTTTTCAACGACGGTTCGTGTTTTGGTGCATTTTCGCAAAACAACACGAATACATTCTTTGCCATAACCGTCAAATTTGAAGCCGTGGGTAATATCTTCGACAACATCCGATTGCTCCCAAACCTGCGTGGAAATATCTGAAGTGGCTCGCAGCTATAGGCAACGAAACTGACATGACAAAATGACACTTTGGGGTATTTTACAGAAGGGAGTAGAATAGCGCATTATGCAATAAGGACAAGAAACTCACGTGGTAAAATGAGGCTTCCCGCACGCTACAGAAGAGAATAGAAAAAAAACTTTTAAGTCCAACACTGGCACGATACTAACAACGTTAAGTTAGACATGTGAAACAAATTCTTGGTACCCTTCATCTCAGTTTTGTTGAAATATAAAAGATTTTATCGTCTTAATAAATTCGTGTCTTTTAAATTAAGATTTTTCGAAGCGGGTTTAATATTTCAGGAGATACATGATCGGTTTATGTTTTTTTTGTGTACCGCTTTTTCTTAGGATAATTCTGAAATCAATAGTAAGCATAACTAAGCTGCAAAATAATTGATAATAGTCCTTGGTTCCGTTACTTAACCTTACTGGGTGTCAATTTTTATTAAAGTGTCAGACGGAAACAATCGTACAGGTGTAACAGTTTAAAGCGTCCTTACCCTGGGCAGATATCATTAACACCAATTTTATTCAACGCGGAAGTCGGAGCTTGTATATCTGTCACGAATATCGTGTTCACAAATTGAACATTTCCTTTGTGCGAGAAATAGATCTCCCGTTTCAACCTATCAGAAATCATTTGACCGATGGTAAATCGAAATAGTACAGGTAATACCAATACCAATTATACTTAAACTAACATTACAAAAATGTTTTTCAACGTTTGTTCATTTCACGTTTTTTTTCATAAATTTAATGAATATTAATAATACTTCTAAAAATATCAATTGAACAACTGCCTTTTTAATATTTTAGATACCTAACATCGAATACCATATCTTCGAACGCTTAATAATCTGGAAATTACTAGAGAGAAGAGCATTGATAACCGATAATTTTTAGGCCGGATGGTGATGTGACAATGGATTAAGGTTTTGATCTGTGTGCGTGGATTTTCTGTAAACCCAATGTTAGGTCTGATTTTCTATTAATATGTTTATCCAAGAATTCCTAAGATTTCCTCCTTTTTTCCTCCGTGGGACAAGGACGATGTTGGAACCTTTTGCAAGAACTGATTTTTCCATCTCAAAAAGTTGGTGCGATGGTACATTTACCACAGTGTTTGGTAATTGAACAAGTTTTCCTTTAATATTGAAACGAACTGCTTTTTAAAACAATATCAACATAAAATATACAACTCAAACACAAACCTCACATGAAAACAATGCAAGCATTCCCAATTTTACTTCCAAGATTTAGTAATATTTTTTTCTACTCCCGTCTGTAAAATACCTAATTACCCACCGATCTAGCGTGCGAGAAGCGTCGCTTTACCACGTCACTTTCCTTTTCCACGAATTCGAGCCACTTCGGACATTTCCGGAATTTTACCGCACGGATTTGAGAGCAATCGGATATGTTCGAGGATATTTCCGACGCTTTGAATTTTGACGTTTGTCAATTCTGACGGTCATGTCAGTGAATGTATTGTTTTACGAAAAGTTACCCAAAAACTAACGGTTGTAGCAAAAGTATAGTATGCAACATGTTCGGTAAACTTTTTAACTCACTCGTTTACTAAACACTCGCTCCGCTCGTGTCATATAAACTCGTGATTCAAATACCGTTTACGGCACTTGTTGCATAATATATTATTTTCTACTCCCTTCTCTAAAATACCCAATCATACACTAACCGAGAGTGCCACTTCGGACATTTCCAGGATATTACTCACGAGTTTGGAAGCAATCGAATGTTTTCAGAAATATTCCTTACGGATTGAATTTTGACGTGACACGTCATTCAATATTTTCGTGCTGCTTAGCAAAAATGTGCTGAAAACTGATGGTCGTAGAAAAAGTATAGTATTCAACACGTTTGATAAACTTCGTAAACTCCACTGTGCTCCTCTCGTACCAAAACAAAACTCGTAACTCAAATGCAGTTTATCGAACTTATTGCATTGGCGCTTGAGTTCTCATTGAATTATAAAATTGAAAATATAATTTTGCTTGTCCATATTCAACAAAAACTGCGGACGTTTTACAAATTAAAGTAATTTCCATGTGGTGTAACAAAAACTGTATGATACGGAGCTATAGAACTATGACCGAAAATATGATTAGTGACAATAAATGTGATTCTTTGCGACCTCTTGCGGCCAAGTGCCGAGTTAGTACAATGGCTAAATTAAATCGAACAAGGAAACTCTACTTCGACTTAAATAATATATAGAATCCTTTATGCTTTTTCTTCCTTTATTATGATATATTTTGACATTTCAAATGTTTTGTTCGAACAAGTTTTGACGCAGTTGCAAGAAGCTATTGTTTGAGTGATTTGCCTTCAATTGCGCACAGAACAAAGAGTACTAACTTCGTTATTCTGGATCAAAATTTCTTCGAAAAATTTTCAAGATTTAAATTATAAGTTAGAGTTATTAGAATGAGGAAGAAAACCGACTTTGAATCCTTCATAATCGATTACATTGCGGACCAAAATCGTATCATTGAAAAGTTTGAAGAGCTGAAAAAAACAATTAGCAATCATCACCACAAGTGTAACATAGTTAAGACTGCTGGAACGGCAGTGAGTGGCACTGGAGTCGCTTGTGTTCTGGGCTCTGTTCTATTGGCCCCAATGACAAGTGGTTCATCATTAATTTTGGGTACTGGCGGAGCTATAATGTCTGTAACAGGAGGATTGTCCAATGTGATTACAGACTATGTGGAGTATAAAACTTCCAATATGGTTATGGAAGATATTCAAAACATAATAAAATCTAAGGGAGAGTTTGATAAGAACTTGCAGAAGCAGTTGGACAATTTAGAGAAAATTGTTAATATGCTTGTGGAAGATGGTATTGATAGAGATACCGCTATAGTGAGTACAATAAAAGGTATATTAAGGTTTTGATCAAACTAACCAAATGTGTGTTTTTTTTATAAATGTAAATTTAAAATTTTTAGGTATTGCTTTGGGTTGCATCGATTTAACTGAAGAACCAACCATGAATTTAAGTAAAACCCTAAGTACTGTAATTAAATTACATCATATTGAAAGTGCTGCCCATAAAACTCTGCCAATCATTGAAAAAGCCATGCACGTATCAGAAAAAAGCTTTCAGTTTATATATAATGTCTTAGGGTTAACTGGAAAATCTGCTCCACACCTGCTCCAAGTTATTGGAAGGATCTCTAGTATGGTTTCAGTAGCTTTCACTGTAATCGATGTTGGACTCTTAATAAGAGATTGGACTAGTGAGCATCCATCAGTAGAGGTAATTGATGAAGTCCAGAAAAAACTAGAAGTTGAAAAAAATATTTTAAAAGATTTACTAGAGGTTATTAATACCTCAAAAGATACTGAAAATGTTCTATACAAGGTAATAGAAGATATTAGGATTATGGAAGATGAAGATTTGTTGAAAGACTTTGAAATTGTGGACAATGTGGCTGTGCAGTAGTAGTTGTAACTTCTAACATCACAAGTCCACACTGCAAAGTTCTTGTGGACTGAACTTTTTTGTTTTTTGTTTTGGTTTTCTAATATAGTTTAAAACAGAGCTTCATGTTTTCTTGCTTAAAGGTCAATAAAATAAAACAAAAAAAATGAAATATATATTACTAATAATTTTACAAACTATACCTGTAGGACAAATTGAAATATGATGTTATTTTTAATTGCTAATTCTATCATTAGCTTATAAATACATTAGAATTGGATATATCCAGTCTTTTTACAGTTTCAAAACCTTAGTATGAAATGTATGTTCTGTTTCAGGATATATCAAATTCATATCTGCCTGACTTTAGAAATATGGCAAACGTTTGTGATGAATACAATAAATTACTAATTACTGTACAAGTCTTATTTGAAATATCAGATCCAGTTTAAAACAGTAAAAAATGTGTACAACAAGAATAAAAGAGCAACCTTTCACTCAGAAATTTGTAGGGTTAAATTAAAAAACAAACTTAAATAAGGCGCTTGTCTAGGCACTATTAGGGTAATTTCAGGTGCAGTCTTGGTTACTTAGCTCTTAAAGAACAACCTTAAAAAAGATGAAGAAAAAATTGCAGCATCAAAAAAATGTATATCACTCACCTTTCTTTTGGTGTTAACTGCGAGACATTAAGGTACTTCTGAGACTTGTATTTGTCCTGGATAGCGTGTTGCTCTAGGGTAGGGCCTTTCCGAAACAAACCATATAGGAACTCTATGCAGGGCCTAAGCTGGTCCAATTCATATTGAGTATTGTGGACAAAGTCTTCGTTCCACACTTTTTCCTCAAGCGTGTGCTGCGCTATGGCTATGGCGGAGGCGGCTAGCGCTGATGGTAGATGAGTCAAGTAATTTTCCCCATCCAAAATAGACAGTTCACAAAGGTACTATAAAGAATTCCGCTAAAACTTTTGCACTTTATTGAGTGGCACGTGGACTTACCATTGCCAAAAATTTTACTTTTTCCGATATCTTATTAATAGCACACATTGCCGTGATGAAGGCCAACGGCGTGGGAATCGATAAATCAAAGCCTAGTACTTTCAAAATCAGATGCTCCATGCGAATAACTTGTCGTTTAGAGTATGTATCATCAGTAATGTAAACAAACTCTTGAATGTTGGGGCAATAAATCTCTTCGTATTTTCTAAAACCAAAATCAGAACTCATATTAGAGTTTGGTTTCTAAACAAAAATCAACATCTTCAACAAAGTTACTACATTATATTAGTTTCTTAAAGGATTCTGGCAATACTTCTAGCTATATGTTTCTCAGGATTATTGTAATAATTAAATAAATTGAAGATCAATTTATAACACTGGCAATTAGTAACAATAATAATAATAGTACCCCTTATTTCCAACAAACTCATCTCATATCCTATTAACAAAACGTTACCGAGGCATCACTTAGCCTAGGATAATTAAACATTTACAGGTTACAAACAATTAAAAGAAATATAATAATAAAAATAATAAATAATAATAAAAAGCAGGTACATTGATATTAACAATTAAAATTCAAAACTAAAAGAGTAAAAGCATTTGTGCTGTAAATATAGGGTCACTTCTCCTTTAAATTTCTCTCTGTTTTCAACCCTTAACTATCACTCAATAATGTGGACCTCTGTCAAAAAAAGTTGAATTGTGTACACAACTACTGAGTCCGGTCCTGATCCCGATAACAGTCGTAATTTACTTGGCAAAAAAATCAGAGTTGTTGCGAAAAAGACAGACAGAGAATGTAGAGAGGGAACAGTAAGGATGCATATTGTCAAAATACGGTTTGCAGGAAGTCCTGGGGTGCGACTTGAGAATATGCCTAATAATTCTGGTCTGAGACTTGAAATCACTGATTGCATTTTAAATTCTACATTTTATCGGATCACAATGAACACCTATGTTAGTAGATATAAATTTCAGCAAATCTAAATTTGTGTGGGCGAGAGTTTTTAATGGTATGACTTAAAAAGTTTACCAAATTAGGTATTTTACAGAAGGGGGTAGAAAAAATAATTTACTTAAGGCATTTCAAGGATGTACCCAAGTAGTAATTCCAAGAAGAAAGTCCGCATCTGGTCCTTGGACCATTTTTTGTCAGTAAGTTTTGCTCAGCACTTCAGAACACTACACTTGTAGTTAGAATACATGGACAAGTAACACTTCACATAATTTTCAGTTTTGCCAAAATACATCACAATCTCAACTATAACTAATAGACATAAAACTCTGAAAGGGCAAATCAGTTTTGGTTAGTTGTATGTTTTTTTTTAATTCAATTAATATAATACTTACGATGCAAGAAACATTGCAGCAGTGCCCACCAATTGCAGCTTCCCCCTTAGAACTGACATATAACTCAGAAATCGATCTATGTAGTTTACAGCAAGATACAGAGTTTCAGTGTGAAGTTTGTATTCTTCGCTCACTTCAACCAACCAGTCTACTAAAATAGCTCTCATGCTCCCATCTATATCTGGTTGCTTTTTCATATAACCAGCTTTTGGACGATTCAACAACTGAAAGTGGTAACAATAAGATTAAAAATAACTATACAAAATATTAAAGCTGAACTCACTTCATGTTCCCTCAAATACTGATAGATCTCAAGACTATACTCCTCAATAATAAAAAAGTCATTATCACTCTTAATTTGCTCTCTTGCAGCTTCTACAGACCTTTCAATATTCATTAGACTTAATACTTCCTCCTCATCCTCTGGCAGTTCTGCTGGCGGAATCAGGCCTTTTCTTTCCATTTCAACAATCTCTTTTTTAGTATAGAACCGATCCTCCATAGTCCCTTTATAAACCATCGATTTACTTTTAGCTTTTAGTTTCTCCTCAATTTTCGCCATTCGGTCTTCATAACTGACATCCTCATAGACCTTAAAAGCTTCAAATTGGGCTACCGGCACTATAGGGTTCACAATGTTCTTTCTGTTTTCTTTTTGGGAATTTCTGTTTTCCTTGTTGATGTTTTCGTCGCTTATAGAGCTCAAAGGCTATTCAAAATAATAATATTCTTTGGAAAATGTAAACCAAAAATATCATAAAACTTACTTGTTTGTCCTTCTGGACCTGGACCTCCTTATGGTGTCGATTTTTTTCCATAAGACCCAAGACTACCCTTTTCTGCTGAACAGCCATTGTACTTTGTTTTGATCGTCCTTCCGGTAACCGATTCTCTTGGTCTTCATGAACGCGTATCGTAGCCATCGTTCAATTAAAAACGCAATCACTTTCGTATCTAAATTGATTAAATCTTAATAAAACCTGAGTTTAATATACTTTTTATATCTTTTATCTAGCACGTTGGACGCTTAATTTTAACGGTCGGTTTTTATCACCTTTCCAGCGAAGAACGACAAAGCCGCACGACCCAACTGCCACTACACACAAAAGCGGGAAACGTTAGAAAAAGACGAAGTTACATTGGGAAACAGCTGAGGAATAAAGCTGACACACGCAAGCGCATAACGTCACTGAGCCAATCAAAGGACTTTTACAATTTGATTTAAAAATCTACCTAATAAGTTACCAGCAATGGCTCTTACCTTTCGTCCTTGAGGTCAAACTTCCGTAAATAATTTTTTAAAATAATTGTTTCTTTAAATCAACTTGGAATTAACTATTCACGTATAAAATACTTGTATAAAATGACACGTCTTTCTATCTGACAATTTGGCAAGTCAAACTAGCGATTAGGTATATCATTTTAACTGTGATGGAATAATTAATTCATATGAAGAGTGCCTCCGTCGTATGTATGTTTTCTAGTACACAATATTTTGTAGAAATTCGCCCTCCGTTTGAAAAACTTACTTTGATTATGCCTTAATTAGCTACTTTTCTAAGCACTATATATTATTGTAAAATTTCTATTACAGAACAAATATGTATCTAATTTATACTAGTTAAATTGAGCAGGTCGTAGTAGTAGAACTAGGCGCTTATGAGGTTACTATCCATCACAGCTTTTTGCAAATAAATTAATATCTGATTTTTTCACTCTTAAACCGAATATACCTATGACGCGCCCTCTATTTAATGGTTTTGATGAATTTACATATAGTAGGACAAATACGTGTGAATACATTTTACACAACATTGATTGATTGAAACAATTTTTTCCTCTCCGTACTATTCATTGTTTGGACGCAAACCTTTACATACGCGCTTTCAAAGATACTCGCTCCGTATCGTGCGTGCAATGCCCAGATGGGGCGAGCTATAAATTTGGTGTCAATATTTTGTTTAACCTCAATTTTATGTTTACTCTTCTGTTTTAGGTAACTTCTAACCTTCTAGCCTATTACCCAAGATGCAACATGGCAATAAATTAGTATGCTGGTTAAAAATAATTACTTAATTTATCGGTTAAAATATTTCTTAATATTTTTTTGTTTGATTCCTTTTTGCTTTCTTTGTGTTCTGTGACCCTGGGACACGTGCTTTAAAATTAAGCAAAAATAAAATAATTTTACAACGATATTAATTGGTTAAAGAATGGCTGAACAATACAAGTATGTGAATCAAAGAAGTGGTGATTTAAATGCATTGCTTATTGGATATATGGACACAAACTGTTTTAGATCATTGCATCCATTAAAATATTGCAAAGATTACCTGGCACATAACGTTAGACCTGATGGTAGAGAATTCTGTCATTTTCGGCCAATTATTGTAAATACTAACTCTATAGTTACTTCTGATGGTTCATCTATTGCTAAAGTTGGCAAAACAATCATAATGTGTGGCGCAAAGGCGGTAGGTTTGATTTATATTTAGTCTATTAATCCATTAGCTTATTATAATATGTATTCCAACTAGGAACTCTGTAAGCCCAAACCCGACTCGCCTAAGCAAGGGTTCTTAGTTCCCAATTTAGAACTACCACCTCTATGTTCACCAAAATTTAAACCTGGACCACCTAGTGAGGAAGCTCAAGTATTGACACAGCTTATAGCAGATATTATTGATAATTCGAAGTGCATAGACCTAGAAGAACTTTGCATATATCCTGATAAACTAGCATGGTGTTTGTATGTGGATTTAATTTGTCTCAACCATGATGGTTCATTGGTAGATGCCTGTATTATTGCCCTAATGAGTTGTCTGAATACTGGTGAGTTTTCTTTTGATTTATTTGGATTAAAAAAGAAGATGGTATACAGTTTTCAATTTTTGGTTCTTAATAGTAATTAATTAATTCTTAATAGTTCTTTAATATAAAATATAGAAAACAAGAGAAAGACAAAATGTAAATAAATTATTTTTATTAACACTAGTATTAGAAAATAACACAAATTTATACATATATATATATAGTACATTTAATTCATTAACATACTTGTTATAAAGCTTTTTAATACAATGAACAGTTAAGGCATCCGAAGCACAATAATAGAAGCTAAAGTATAGTGTTGCCTCATAATTTCAATTAACTATTTAGTGCATGCTTCCCACACATACTCTAAAAATCCTCATAGGAGAAACTGTGCAGTTCTGGCTTTAAGAGTTTCTAAAGAATGTGTATCTATTTACACCTTATTGCCAATTCCTGAAAGCCAGGCCCATACAGTTTTTCTTTAAGTATATGCGGAGCATGTGGAGGACCCAAATGAAATTTTGGAACCATAAAATTTGTGTAGTAAATACTGAAGGGTAACATATTTCCCAGGCAATTGATCTTCCATCCAAGATAAGGTTATATAGTTAACACAGATATTTTGTAAATTTCCATAAAACTATATCAGTTTTAAAGAAATATATACAAAACAAATTTCAATGGAATTTTTCTCAATTTCCAATGCTGAATTTAGTAAAAAATTTGGAAATGTTTTATAGCAAATAAAGCATCTTATATGATGCAAGCCACTCCATTTTTAAGATTTTAAAGCTGCTAATCTACTTTGCATTTCTTCCAACTCACTCTCATTTTCTTCATCTCTCAAAGTCTCTGGTTCATGTTCATTTTCAACCTGAGTGGGTGGCACAGAAGGCGCTTCTCCAATCTTTCCTTCAGTAATTTCGTAAAGGACTTTATCAACCTCTTGCTGAGCAGCTTCTTCCATTTCTTCCGAATTATCAATTTCAAAACTTTCATCTAACATTTCCTCAATTATCCCAGCTTTCATCATTTCCCTTGACATCTCTTGCATTGTTTTCGATATTTCTGCCACTCTTACCAAAGATTGCATAGCGTTCAATACTTCTGTGGATTTTTGTAATGATCCAGCTACTCTCAATGTAGCCAATTGGTTTTTCATTTGCAACATTACCGAATTGATGTGTGCCTTTGTTGTGTAAATTTTGTTGACAGCTCGTCGAGCCTTGACGATTTCTTTGGCCAATATAATGCAGGTATCATTGTCATTCTTCTTAGCTGCTTCTTTTAATGTTCTCTTTATTTTTTCTTCTTCTCTTTTTATAGAATTAATTTGTCTGTCCAACTGATAACCTTCCTTGCGTAGTTTGTGATTCCATTCCGTTACCATGTCTTTTGGATCACGCCCTTGCGATTTACCAAAGAGACCCATTCTGGTGTGTCCTTTTCACCAAATTATTTGCAATTAAACAATCATAAATATTTTTTGAAGAATGTACATTATATATGACAATTGCAAATGACAGTTTGGATTGGGCCAAGTTTGTAGTTTGGTTAGTGTTATACATAGACAATATTTTTGTTTTAGTTACTCTTCCTTTGGTGGAATATGATCCAGCTGTTGATAACCAGCAAGTCAATTTGGAGGTAACGAAATCCTTACCTATTCATTCGTTACCTGTTTCTACAACATTTGCCGTTTTCGATGAGTATGTTTAAAAAATTAGGATAAGACCAATACTGAAATAATTTTTTTTTTAGTATTTTTCTCGCAGACCCTACTCTGGAAGAAGAGAATCTTTGTAGCTCAAAAGTAACAGTGGTAATAAAAGATGGGGAGCTTTGTTGCGTTTATAAGCCAGGCGGAAGTGCTATATCAAACATTGAATTATTGGATTGTATTGACAAAAGTAAAAGAAGAGTTCCCACGATAAAAGAGCTATTGCAAACGTCCCTTATCACTGCTTAAGTTCATTATATACATATTTCCAAAATATTTGTTAAAATCGGTTTATTAGGATATAAGACCTGTCGACATATTAGAAATTTATAGAATTTAAATTCAATAGATTGACTTTCTAATTTCTTAAAGAATTTATATATTTTTTTGTCACAAATTTTTTTAAAATAAAAATTGTTTAAACAAGTTTTTTATTATTGCAGTTATTTTACTTACAACAGGAAAAGCGATTGATAAGTATAGAATTAACTGTAAAATTATAAAAGTAAGCTTGACCATATTTTGCTCTGTGATGGACCTTTCACGAAAATTTGTATTCCGAGTTTGCCGTTTAATGTTTGTCAATTTGTCAGCTGTCATGATCTCAGTATGTTTGTAAACTGGGAATTTTATTAATTTGTTTAAATAGATCGAGCGTTCAGCACAAACAATTCCAGTTACTTAATTCAAATTAGATATATTATTCACCACAATCTCGAGATTCGTTTCCACCAGAAAGTTTACAATTGTTAAGGGTTATGTTACCCTTGCCGTAAATTTTAGGAATAAAATGTGGCTGATTTTAATTCTAACATGTTCGCACTCAACCGCTCGTTGAGGAGTTTATAATTAAATGTTTAAGGTGAGCTTTGTGTAAAATATTTAGTGAACATTGTTTGACCTACTAAGGACACAAGACTGATTTACATCACAAACCATAATTCTCACCAATTTAATCAATGTTCTATTTTATTAAGGGTAAAATAGATTTGGATTTATTTGCCATTCCTATAAAGAGAATATTTCAAAATAATACTGCAACATATTTCCATGAAATGTCTTTCGAGAATAGGTATGTTAGTTGATTTGGGTCTGAGTTGCTTGGTGTTGCCTAGTTAATTATCAAATTTACCAGTGTATTATTAGTATATGAACATTAAAATATATGCTTAAAATGTTTAGTATTTTGCAGATGATCCAACTACATTTGACAATGACAATGTGGTAATCTGAATGTTTGTACTCAAAGACTTTAATAATGCAAAGCCTGGAGGCAACATGCGGAGAGAGTGAAGTAAGTGAAAATATGAAGAAATGAATTTCCTTCACTAAATTGACAGTGTGAAACATTTTTAAACATATATCAATTTTTTTGTTGCCAACATGATTCATTTATACTTTTCCTGAGGGTGTGGATCTTTCACAGATATTTGGGGGAATTCAATTGGTAAAATGTAACCTAGTGTTTATAAATACAAACATTTATAAATCAAAATGAATCAAAAAAAAAAATCTAACACATTATCAAATTCACTTTGGATATTGTTGAAATAGTCAATCATAATACACTTTCTTCCAGCATCCAGTGAAGAAATTTAAAGCAAATCATACTTCCCTGACTCTGTCATGCCCACAGGACCCTCAGGCTTCTACTTCTACATTTGCTCCCTTCAAAGAGTGTACAGAACAGCCAGTGTTTGATTTGATGGGTGAATTAGAGAAATTGTATGACGAAGAAGAATCTGATGAGGAGGTCAACTGTCAAAATGTTATACACTTATCATTTTGTTTTTTTTCTTTTTGCACAATTTTTGTTTTTCAGAATGTCAGATATCATTCCCTTTTGTTAGAAAAGCTTGTTGCAAGAGAAAGACTGAACACTGTTATTCTAAACCTATATCCTAGCGACAAAGGCTACTCGCTGGCATTCAGGCTAACTTCCTGCAGTGATCGAAATTCCAAAGACGACCATACTGCCAATATAATAGAAACAAAACCGAGGCCTTATGAAGAGGAAGACCTTCTCCGATATATCTGTAACGAAGCGCTTCCTCCTTATATCTTAGATATTTTAGAGCAATTTAGCTACCTATTTTATAGTGGGTGCATAATAGCCGAAGTTAGAGATTATCGGCAAGCCTATCCTCATAATAAGTGTGATATACATCATGTTTTACTCAGGCCTACACAGCAGGCAAGTCTTAGTTTCTTTCTATACACAGAATTTGTTTAGTACTCTAAAATTTCAGTATAATTATTTACATAATTTTTAGAGTATTTTAGCTGACATAAACAATATGGTAGATGAAAAATTGACTAGCGATGACAGGGATCAACTCGAGAGCCAACTCCTATTGGCGCACACGCCCAATTTATTTCTTGATCCAGATCCCCACATTGAAAATGAATTAGCAGAAATCCACAATAGGAAACGAATGTGGAATACCAACAAATTCCGTAGAATTGCAAGGAAATTTTCCCAAGTTATTGTCAATAGGAAACGGAAATTGGACCATTCGACTCAAAATCAGGGTTTGGAGTTTTTGGACTTTGTGAATAAAGTAAAAAGGAAACCAGATGCTTCAAAAAAACAGATTAGCATGTTGCCCATACCAGAATTGGGCTGTCCATCATTGCGTCCTCCTACTGAATCTGTGTTTATTAATAAATTTGAGGTATGCAGATTAATTATGTTGCTCTTTTAAGGATGCACTCTCATTTCTCGGCTCTTACTCTACATCTTCAAATTTGCAAAAGGCCAAAACTATGTGTACAATATTGTTTATTTCTGATTTTATATTTAAAACTTTTTTTTAGGTATATCCCTGGCCAAAGGAAACTAGCGACTGCCTGCCTCAGTTAATAGAGGAATTGGTACTTGAAATGATTATGCCTTCAAAAGACAAGGACCGACCTAGGGCTAAACTGTCAATTTTCCAAAGACCCTTGAATGCAGAGTATTTGGGAGAACTTTATTTGGACAGGGATCATAAAAAGAATGAACACAATGGGGTGGCTTGTCGGTTTTCCTTAGGTTCACGATCAAATGCTAATCGGTACATTCATCAATTTACTGAAATATATACTGCGAGCAGTAGCAAACCTATAAGGATAGTTCGGGTATCGGCCCAAAATCTTAAAGATCGAATTGCGCAGCAACACATAGTAAGTCAACCAAATTTGGTGATAAACGGCACGTCTGCTGCAAACATAAGTGTAATTCACCAAAATGCTCAGACCACGACTGTTGTGGTAAGTTGTTTTTGAACTCTCAATTGCTTAGAGTGTATTTATGTTGAATATGTGATCAGAGCGGAGGAGCCAAGTTGGCCTGAACGACGTGTGGTTCCTACATAAACACCTGCATACAAATTAATGAAATAATTTTCTTCGCATCGCAAAGGCGAATTCAGTTTAACCAAATGGGATAATCTAGGTAACCAACTGATCGAAATGCTCGCCAGAAGTGGCATGAGGTGCATTTATTTTTCTTTTTTTGGCAAATTACTACGATAAGTTCACTATTTTAAAAAGTTATCAGCCCAGGACTAAAGGAGGCGCGGCTAAATTTCGTTCAGTTGCAAACCCAAATATTGTTGCTTATTTACTTTTTACTTATTTACAATTTATTACACCAAGCACAGGGCATTAAAAAGTTTAAAGTTTTGTTTCTGGTTGGGCAGCTCTTAAAATGGGAATAATAAAATATGTAACACTAGAATGTACAATTTTTTTCTAACATCCACTATTGTTTTCTTGAAGACTTTCTTCAAATATTTGTACATTTAAATTTTAATATGGACAATATTAAGTAAAAACTCACATTATCCCGCATTCCATGATTCCCACGGTTAATGAGTGCACAAGACAGTAGAAAACAGTAAAAAAAAGTATTTAGTCAGAAGATCAGAAGTGTATGAGGGACCATCCTTCCCCCCGTTGTAAGAAAATGTTACGCTTTATTTATTCTTTTCCTATCCCTTAATTTATCGAACTCCAACGCTTTAATAATGACCAAGTTCAAGAGTTAGTAATTTACGCAGTTATTTAGAAAAATAAGTTGTTCGTTAATTGAACTGACGATCTATACCAGTGGTAATTTTCTTACAGCAGACAAATCCTGAAGGTTCAGCTCAAAAAATTAATATGATTAATAACCAGAAGATTGCAATTAGCGCTTTGGCGGCAAACTTTGAGAACTCCAGTGAGCAATTTCAAGCTACATGTAAGTATTTCGAATATAAAATTTATTAAATTAAATTAACAAGTAAAAATTTTAAAGAACATTTTTATTTATTTATTTATCAAATATTTCTGAATGGTAGGTCTAACAGGGCTATATTTCCCATTAATAGTGCTGACATCAAATGGAATATCAGCCAGGGTCTAGTTTATCCTCTTCCTAAATAGTGGTATTAGTTTTAGCCTTTCAGACACTATCACTATAAAGTATGATCTCTTAATTGTTAATTAATTGGTATATGCCATAGAAAAGCAAACAATCTAGAAATTCGACACTATGAACGAATTCCAATCATAAATATGTTTGCAGTGAATGCCAGGCAAGCAGCGCAACAAAAGCAGCAGAACTTCCACACAGTCACTACAAACACGGCGGTAATACTAAACAGCGACTTAAACCTATCCTCGGTGAATGCTATAAATAACATTACGGTGCCGCAACAAAGACTTTTAGCACGTAAAATCAACTTCACCAATGTAGGCAACACTCGCATACTAAACCACAACAACTTGATCACATTGAACAACAACAGAGTAAATATGAACACCACGCATCTTACCGCGCAGCAGCCGCAAAGCGTCACTCTGACGTCGGTGAATAGCGACAATAGTTTGTCGATGCCGGTTAAACAAGGTATCGTTGGCGCTCCTAACGATTCGCTTTCGGCATTATTGGTTGGCACTCCAGCGGCCGACAGACCCGACATAATTGGCTCCAATACGAACTCTCTGTTTTTGGAAAAGTTCGCGAGTGTATCGAATAGCGGCCCACCACCAATGCAGTCTCAGAAGAACAACACTGTCTTGGCACCATTGTCAAGTCCGCCCCCTCAAGCTACCAACACGATCAACGTGCAAAGTTTGAATTTGACGCAGCTTCAAGGGTTGCAAAACGTTCAGTTTCAGTTACAGCCAATATCGGTGGCTCTTAGTGTGCCATCGGCTGGCACCTTGCAGCGACACCCGACTGGTCTTTTGATGTCCCTACCGGTAACGACCACCACCCAGACTTCCCTTTCACAAGCTTGTACAAGTGTATCTTCGCACAGTATAGGCAACGTGGGAGTTGTTATTACCAACACTGGTTCGCCAAGTTTAGGTAAGGTAACCGTTTGAAATGTCAAAAACAATTTGTATTGTATTCTTCATTTATACTCCAAGTCCTCTGACTTTATTTGTATTTGTTTTTCTTTTTCTTTCATTCGCTAATAGTGACCCTTGAAGTTACTGGCGCATGCGCAGATTGAATATTGCTTCCCAAGAATTTTTTGTTTGTTATGAAAGTACCTGTTCTGTTAAATTGAGGTAATTTGTGTTATTTCTCAGATTTTCACACAAAGTACTCTGGCAGCTTTTTTTTATTCACAATTTAGGATCATATGCAACGAAAAGTAACTTTATTTACTTTTATTTCTGAATAAAGAGTAGCTAGTAACATATTTGTTCAACAAGTGCTCAAGGTTTCGTTTCTGCGACTTATATGTATAGTTCTTTACTGCAAAAATTGTTGCTTTACATTTAAAATACCAATTTGCCATTATGCCTGTGCGCCGAATATTTTTTATGTTGTATATTGCTATTATAAATGGTAAAGGTGGTATAGGAATATTGTTGTTATATAGCCCAGTTGTTAAATTCTGGAGTGAAAAATATATCGCATCAGAACTTGCGGACGACAACTATCCCACAGACGGCATTGGCCCCTGGAAACCCACAATTCCAACTGATGTCTCAGTTACAGAGGACCGGACATCCGAACGCAAGCATTTCTTCGAGAACCATCCAAAGAACACCCGTCACTATCAAAATGGCGAACCCAAACTCAAGTCAGTTAACAGATTTGCAATCAATTTTAAATGTTGATAGTCCAAATAGCTAAAATTCATTGATTTATCCTATATCTAATTCAAATGAGAAATGCATGAATAAATTACATTGTTGTTTCACATTAATAAAGAATAGACCTTAAAGTTGCACAATTTTCGAAGCAGATTTCACATCTCAAGTTACTATTCCATTGAACACGACACTGCAGAAGCCGCTAATACAAGATCAGCAAGAAGAGAATCAGTCGAAGAATTTGCCAGGTTTATTTGAAAAAGTTCGAAGATCACATTCATTTGATAATCTATAGTTTTCAGGTAAAGTAAAGCAGAATTTATAAGAAAGTATGCTGCTATAACTGGTATACGTACCAGTTTTATTAATATTAAATCCTACGTGATAAGATATCACAGCAAAAATTGGATTTAACAGATAATATGGCCATTTGAACTATAAATGCTGTTTTATTTTAAATGCGAGTGAGTACCCATACATAAAAACATCTTTTTAGTTAATCTGTTAACTCATTGTTATCTAAAGTATTCAATTTTTTCTCCATTATAAATAAGCGGAACATACAGAAGATGCGGTTTGACATGAATGTTTATCAATCATGTATAAAAAATATAATGACTAAATTGGTTTCATAAGTCTATTATTATATTTAAAGTTTTGGAACTTGATAACTTTTTTTTAACAACTGTACTTAGTAGTACAATTATCGTTTTTTTTTAACTGTTTTGTTACTTAAATGTTTTTATGAAAAATCATTCATTATTTATTTAGCATATTCGGTACACATTGAATAATTGAAAGCTCTTTGTACTATATTTTCATAAAGTTCTTCTCGTGATTTTTTTTGTATGAGGTGCAGCAATATTAAGGATTGGTTTTAAATTTTTCTCCTCTGTTTGGCGCAAATCTATTTCTTTTATGTCAGTATCAGTATTTTAAATACTAGTTTTGGTTTATCCTTTATTTCGACTATAACGACTAATGTGAGTTTGGTTGTAACTTTATATTTTATACAATGTATGTTTTAAGACCATTGAAGTCAAATCAGAGGCGCTGAAATTTAAGATAGGTTTTGATTTTAAAAATGGAAATTAATGGGGTCCGCCCATGTAGTGCCAAATGAAAACAAGCGAATAAAATCAGTTTCTCTTACATGTATGGGCAACTTAGCTAATTTTTATATATTTTTTTTGTATGTTAATAATTTAACGTCAGTGTCGATTTTCGATAGCAAAATAAAGCTGTAAATAAATTCGTAGTTTAAAGTAATTTATGTTTGTTGTTTATTTTCTACATGCTGTGTATATATGTGTATTTTGTTAAAAAGTGTAATATTCTCAGTGTAAATATAGTTACTATTTAATATTAATTGTCTGTTTTTTATCAATTAATACCTAACAGCACTGCAAATTTTTGGGCCAAATATTAAATGATATTCAAATGAATATTATTTATTAAATATCAATATTAATTTAAGCTTACCTAATATATCACAAGATTTATATATACTGTTGTTGATCCAGGTATTCATCCGTTGGTTGTTTGAGCCTAGAGTAGGATCGGTTGCCTGATGTATCACCAAAATTTCATGTGACCCCTTCAGAGGCTGGGCGTTCATGTCCCACGTGTCCGCACTGAAGTGGAGGCGTAGCCTCCAAAGATACCAGATAAAATTTTGGCGAAACGTCAGGCAACCGATCCTACTCTACGGTCAGACAATCTACAGATAAATTCCCAGATCAAGACCAGTACACATACCTCCATTTTTGAACAAATTTATTTTTATAAAGTACTTAAAGCGACAATTGCAGAGAATCTGTTTTGATGTTCATGTTTTCTTTTCGTGACAAGAGTAATGCACGACGTCCCCATTTGGATACCTAACGACGGCGCTAGAAAAGGATTATACAATTTTTTTTTAATAAAAATTATAGTAAACAAATTATTACCTTTGATTTCCAAAGCGTTTTTTACACGCCGGACAGACGTTGATTTCAGTGACTAAAACGTGTTGGCTTTGAAGCGCCAATTTCATCTCCTGGCAATGTAAATGTTCAGCGTACAACAACCCCTTCAGTAATTGAGTATGTCGACGGTCATGAAAGACTTTCTGAAGGGCAATGAGTAGAAATTTGTAGATTTGCGAAACGGGAATATGGTCTGGAAGAATAGCCAGTGCTTCTATAGGGTCTAATTTTAATGCATTGTCTTCAAGCAATTGCAAGGCCAGATCAATGTTGGGCTGGGCTGTTTTTGGGGAAAGCACTAGACCGGGGAGAGTCAACTGCCAGCTTTCCGGATCCAAAATAAGTTTAATTAAAAGCACATAAACCTAAAAATATTTTTCTTATAAGGTTGAACCAAACATGAAACAAGTATTTATTCAATGGTTCTATCTACTGTCAATAAGAGTGGAAACACAAACAAAAAATATAAAAAATTCTTGATTTTTGAATGACATATGGTTTTAGACACACTATATTAAAAAAATCTTTTCCATAAAAATCACACTTAGTTAAAAACTTTCTAGACCGTATTTTGTATATACTATTCTATATCTAAATCCGACATATTTCAACTTTATTTCAAAAGTGACGTTTACAGGTCTAAAAGTATATAACGATTTCTCCGACTAAATGCCCTTGTTAAATGTCTAGAGTTGATTTGATTGTAGAAAATCTACTAGACCTACTTTAGTGGTCCTTACTGGTATCTTAAAAATAAATAAATACAGTGTGGTCAAAAACTAACATTAAAAATTTGAATGAAAAAATCATTGTCATTTTTTTCAAATAGAAACACCCCATTTTTATAATTTTGTCGTATCTAATATAAAAAAATGGCGACTATATATATGGATCCCTATTTCAAAACGTAGATTTCGAAAAATTTGTAACAAAATGTTTTTCCAGTGTAAAAATTCTTTACGGCTTTTATGTTTTGCACTTTAGCTATGACGATGATGGTGCAATCGAGCACTACAAGGACGTCACTATTGTTGTGAGTTTGTAAATCATTGTTTCACAGGTTTGTGCCACCTACTTTAATCATTTTTTATTATTACTATATTGTTATCGATATTGTTATTTTATTATTTCGATTTATTTTTATTAAAATACTAAAGTTACTATATGTTATAATGTTATTTATCAAACAATAAAAGCACATGCGCTAAGAAGTTACTTCACTAAATTACCTTTAGAGCATGATCCAGTAAAATGGATTTCAAAAAATATATTATTAGGTCAACACTATGGTGGTCTTGCCGGTTTTTGAATATCTAGATACTGTTTTTGAAAAAATTTGTATCATTGTTTGGCATTAAATTTAAATAACTTTTGTGTTAGGAGAATTGCAATTTTACAAGAGAAAACCTTTATTTTAATGCTAATTACGATAAAATTATAAAAATGGGACGTTTTCACTTGAAAAAAAGACAACAATATTTTCATTTAACTTTTAATTTTAGTGTTTGACCACCCCTTAATTTTAAAAATATCAACACAGGCCACTAAAGTAGATCCCTTCTATAAGGAAATCAATTCCAATTAGTGTGTCAAAGTAATATATCTCATTTATTATTATTATTACTAAAAAACACAACTTAAAATTATTTACATTATTTCATAAATTTGTGGTAAATCAAACTTTTTTTTTAAACTGAACATCCTGTTTTTTTTACGGAACACAATTTTTTTTCTGTTTATTTTTTTTTAATGAAATACCCTGCATTTTTTCTCTGCAATGTCTCACTATTATCTTCTGACCGGGCCACCCCCACCGCCGTACATGTTGGTACTTATTGGTTGGTAACTTACATGATCACATCCTACTCCTTTAGATTCATATATTCTCTTACAATATTCAACTGCTTTTTGAACATCCCCAATTGCTCTAACATACAATCCAAGGGCCTGTTCATGCTTTCCTAATCTCCCTAATATCAACGCCCTTTCTTCCAGCAGGTTATTGGTGGGAAAACTGTTGAGAACATTTTCCGCGTTATAATGAGTGCTTTTCTCCAGAAATTGTATGAGTTTTTTTCTGGTGTGTTCAGTAATACCAGGATCGTTATTTAAAATTTTTTCTCTGTACTGATGGATAAGAGCGTTGTGAAATAAGGGATTAGTGTCCTCCCATGTGTAAATTACATGTTCTAAGTAAGTAATGACAACCGACGGGTGGGATTTTAGAAGGAAATCCAACACACGCGGCCTGGGTATTGCTTCAACTTCGGCTATGTCTTCAGTAAAAACCTTAAAGAAAAAATTTTATGCTTTAATGTTTCTTTTCCGAAAAACATCTGAAAAATGACTACTTAAACATTTAAAAATCCTTAATAATTGAGCGTAGGCGTGGCATCTTAACTCTTCAATTTGCCATGTTTTACATTTGGTATACATCTTTCTTTCAAACATTTGTCACCATGTCAACTCACTTACCTTTAAACCATTTTCAGGAGATTCTGTGAGCACCCAATCAGCGAATTCAATAATCAAACCCATGTTATCTGTACCCAAATGTTGCAAATAGCTAATAGTTCGATCAATGCTCTTCTCCGATTGTAAAAGTTCTAAAGCTCTTCTGTGTTGACCTTTAGTCTGATACAGTATGATAAGCTCGTTGTATTTCCCCATTTTCTTTAATATTTTTTCGGTCTCAACCAAATGACAGTGGTTACGACGCAATAGAGGGGCCACCAACGCGTCATTCGTCTGTAGATAGCATTTAAGTAGAGTGGTATCAATGATTTGCAAGAGCTGATTTACAGACTTGCTGGTACTCTTTTCATTTAGGTTTCCCTTTGCATTGACAGAACCCTAAAATCTGATGATGAAATATGAACTTAAAATACGTGATTAAAGCACCTGAGAGTCTACTTGAAGTTTATGCCTCATTTCGGTTAAGTAATCTATCAAAGCCAAACGGCTGGTTTCTAATTCCTTCTCAGTTAAATCGCGTGTGGATTCGGGATAGTCACCTTGTTGTGGTAATAAATCAGGAAATAATCTTATAACATCATAAGCATCAGTCCCCAATTTTAAAAATTCCTTCATACTCTCATGAAACTGCTTCCGCGCAAACAAGTCATAAGCTAGTAGGGTCTGAATGTGGTGAATTTTTTCTTTTTTTTCTTCATCTGACTCATTAGAGATTTGCTACAATATAATGCCTAATGGAAGATTCATTTCTATATTAGAAATCATCCACAAATGTATGTAATCTCACTTATTGTGTATTTTTTCATGAATGGTCTCTTAAACAAAAAAATCAAACAAACTAGACAAAATACAATATATTTATATGGCTCGATTTTTTTATAACATGCATATTAAACTAAGCAAAATAAATGTCTACTCAAATGTACCAAGTGTTTAAAGCTCTTTTAAATTAATTTAGAATTGGGACCAGATTCAAGGGGTTGCCATAAAAAAAATTATGTGAATGTGAATGAAATTACTAAGGTCACGCTAAAAAAAATGTGGGATATGTTAAAAAGCAAACTTACTGTAAGTTTAAGAGCCAGCTGAAACTGTTTGTTGTTGACCAAGACTTCTCTTTGTCTAGCAATGTCCACAGCTTGAATACACCAAATTTGACTTAGAGAGGCTGCAAATAACAATCCTGCCTCTGATTTAACAACAAATCTCACCTTTGGCATATCTGGCAGTGTCTGAATCAATTGACTTTGTTCAATTGTGTTAACCTAAGTCAGAAAATAAACAAATGAACAATGAGTTAATCAAATATTAAACAAGTGTTACAAAAAAGTATATAAAATAGCCACGTGTAACACGTGTTAGTAGAAAAGAACATAGAATTTGAAAATATAAATATTTATCTGAGGAGGTTGACATTTTCAAGTAAAGAAAAATAATACAAACACTTAACCTAATAAATTTTTTTGATTACGACAAAAGGGACCAACCTCTATTGAATCATTTATTACACCCAAAACATAAGGTTCATCCCAGGCTAAAGCTGTTGCTGTATCAGACCATCTTAAGGCCTGGTTCCTTTCAGTTTTACCTTCAGTGTTCACCAAAACTGTTTGATTGTCACGACACAATGCAAATGTATTATCTGTTACTTTTATTATACAAGGTTCAATTGATTTGGAACTGCTAAGAGGAAACAAATCAGTTTGTTTGTCCTGGAGCTAAAATAATTCTCAAGCTTTTATCTTTTTACTACAATTTAAAATTTCAATATTATTAAAAAAAAAAAAAATTAAATAACTAAAAAAATAAATACTATTGCAATTACCTGCAACAGGGAGTATTCATCTCGGTATCCAATACATATAGCGGTGCCACACCAAGCAAAGCATTTTGGCACATCTGATAAAGAAATATCCTCCATAAGTTTCAGAAATTCATTGTTTTTCAAATAATACAGCTGAATCTTTCTTTTCACTGACACTGCTAAACGAACCAATAAATGTGTATCTCCGGTCAGGGATGTTTGTTTCTGCCCACAAAAAGCTTTATGATTTATCCTTATATTTAACATACATAGCTTACATTAATATTCACAGCAAAGAATGTTGCCCCTTGACTCCTATGTATTTGATGCAGGGTGGTAAAATTAATTGCATTGATATCATGAAGTTGTACTAAATTATCTTAAAATATGAAGCAGAATTAAAGGTAAAAGGTTATGCAATTTCATCAGTATGTCATGTTCTTACCAGTAAGACTCAAAAGTAAATTTTGTTCAGGAATTACTTCAAGTTGTTGTATAGTCTTCTTACTAAAAGACTTATTGTACCGCATCAATGTGAGTTCCCATTTTGAATTGTTTTTTGTTAAACTATACATAAACAAATGTCCTTGTCTAGTTCCAACCAATAAAGTTTCACCTAAAATCATTCCGGACATACACGAATATTAAAGGATTATTAGTAAAGCGTTTACCATATGCAGTTATGGATTCCACTTGATGAGAGAATTTAATTAAAGAGGATACTTGATAAGCTTCATGCATATTGGTTTAAGGTATGTCAGTTATGAATTACTATTTTAAGTATACTCTTAATGTCCACTAAAGCACTGCTGTTTTTAATCCAAATTTCCCTTACGAAACAGTTTTTTTTAATAATTTTTTAATCATTCCATTAACCACAATCTTATTTAAACATTCATGGATCGGCTGAAACTCCAGCTAATTGTTTAATTACGTGAAAATAGACTATATTAGCTTTTTAACACAACATAAGGAAAACCGGCGACAGCAGAATAACAAAAAACATATGAATGAATTCGTAAACAAATATGCTTGGGCAATCATGGAACTTTAGAGAGATAATACTATTCGCATACAGCTGCGCAACCATGGAACTATCAACAAAGCGAATAAAACGTAATCTGCTGTGAAGTATGAAGTTCTTGCTACAACGTCAAAAAGGGGCGGTCGCAACCAAAGATGGTAACCAGAAAAGGATAGTTATTTCCTGTAACAATGAGTTCGTAATACCGGTCACCGATATATGACGTCTTAGCACCCTTTCTGAAGACAAATATTATGTTATGTTATGTTATGTTCTGTAATAAAAGTTTGCCTTTCGTGCTAATTTGTTTAAATAAAGAGTATAAATCATAGCATCAAAAGACTAAACTATAACAAATAACATATAAAACATGTTTTGCGGAAAATAGGTGACGTCATTGCTTGCGCTAAAGTAACGAAAATAAACCGCCGATTTACCTATCTTCCCTAGGTCATTGAGTCGCGGTCGGGTAATTATAAGTCACGGTTAATCCAGCAGTTTACGTTTTTAGTGGATGTGCCATAGAGACCAAAATTGTCAGTTTCAACCATGGTTCTTTAAGAAATTTTGTTCATCCATTATTTTTGTATAATATAAATAATAATAATAATAATAATAATAATAATAATAATAATAATAATAATAATAATAATCCTTATTGTCTAACAGAATAACAACCATTTAGAAGACAATATCATCTTAAGAACTATAACTATAACTACAATAAGTAGTCAACTATGTACACTCTAGCAAAGTAATAGTGAAACGTACAACTCAAGTTTTAAAGTGAATTAGAAAAACTCAGAGAATGCCAAATTCTTTTGAATGGGAGATGTTGGAGTTTTTTTTTATAAAACATCTACAATTTTGCGTTTTTTTTTTTAATTTCATTGTTAAATCGAATAAATATAGCAGTTTGGCAACACGGCGCAATTGGATGACATTAGGTTAGCACCCACAGTTAAAATTTCTAAATATACTAAAAACGTAAACTGCAGTACTTCACGTAAGCTTTCGTTGGTCTGGCTGACCGGAGAGGAAGTGTACTTGTTGTGCACTTTGTATTTATTCCCAAAACATCCCAAGCAATCCAATATTTTTTTTAGGAATGTCAATAAACTGCATAGTGACATTCAAGAAATAACCTTTTACAAAAAAGATCTGTTTGCCAATAACTTAAACCAAAAACGAAATTGCAAATTCGCCTATGGAGCGTTAATAATTTGGCTACTCTCTATATTCAATTGACTTAAAGCATTTTATAAGGTTAATGTCAATCTGCTGTTACTGTGTGATGTAGATGTTATGTTTTTTCCAATTGATAATTTATAAATATATAATTTTTATTTACACCTCCTTTCAGTATGGATTTTTGCAAACTATTACACACAGCCCAAAAAAATGACCAAACTTCTGCGGGAGGTGTAAGTGCTCTAAATTTTTCTTTCACATATTGTTGAATAGTGTTTATTATTTAGGTCAGATATTACAGCACCAGGTTCGAACCTCCTAAAAAGTTGCAAAAAAATACAAAGGAAGTTTCTATAAATGTCAAGAAGTTTTTGGAAAAGAAAGAAGCTGAGGAAAAAAAAAGAGCTGAAGAGGCCCAACGCAAGAAAGAGGAACTCTTAGCTCTCAGGGCACAGGTTTCTTTGTTTCTTTAATTCACATAATTATTCAGTTTGTCTTTATCAAATGTTATTTGCTACTGTCTTCTTTTTAAGGATAAAAAGGCAACTCGGCGTGTAAATGTTATGTTGAAAAGAACAAAATCTGCAAATCAAGCTGTAATTGAAGATGCAGTTGATAAACAACACACAGCAGTAACCAGAGCTGGAACAGAGCAACCAGATGAGGATGATTATGGATATGTCTCTCAGGAAGCATCTGCATTTTATGAAAAAATGATGGAAAAATACAAAGATATGCCTGAAGAACCGAAATTTAAACTATTTAAAAAAAAGGTGGTGTACATTATAATAGCTCCCAAAAAAAATTTAGTAATATTTTATATTATGATTTTCGATTAAAGTATTTTATTGAAGTACTGCAAAATTTATTACTAGGTGAGTACAAATTTAAATGGCACCAAAGATAGGGTAAAGGCAGCCTTAGAGAAGGAGCGAGATGAAGCAATGCATCCTCAGAGGCGGAAAAGAAAACGCAAAGAGAATGAAGGCCATGAGGAAGATGGTGGAAATGATGAGCAAATTGCAGAAATGGAATTCCACACTGAAACTGTGAATAAATCTAAGCCAAAATCTAAACCTGTCCCACCCCCTATGAGTTTTACTGGTAAGTGCATAAGCTGAAAGTTAAGACAGTTTGAACAGATTAATTTGTGTATTTAGTTTGGTAATAATATTTATATTTACTTGTACTGAAGTGGCTTTTACTTGATGAAAATGCATTTAAAATAGTTAAATAAGAACAAACGTTCAGATTTTCATATAAATATATTTGTAAACATCGGTACCGTTTGATATTCGCATTTGATAAAGGCACGGTATTGCCGAAACAGCTGTCATTTAAATATATTTATGTGAAAATCTGAACAATGTTTGTTCTTATTTAACTATTTAAATTTACCTTTATCCTAATGAATAAATTGTCTCACAGATCTGCTGAAGATTGCTGAAAAAAAACAATTTGAGCCAATAGTTGTTGAGCAGAAGCCAAAAGAGGAAGAAAAATTATTAACTAAAAAGCAAAAAAAGGAAGCTGAACGAGAAAGGGAATGGAGAGAAAGGCGTGAAGGCAAGGTACCTTCTGTGCTGGAGAAAGCATTGTTAAATAAAAAGCAAGTGATTGAGAAAACAAGATCTGAAAAGCCACATGCTAAGACCTTATCTGATTCTGAGAAAATGCTAAAATCTCAAAATTTAAAGGTCACCTCAGAAAACAGACCTGTGGCAAAACCTAATGATGGAGTTAAAAAACAACAAACTTTAAATAATAAGACCATGAAGGCAATTATTCAACTTGAGGCACAAGGTTCTTCTGCCACCAGTGGAAAGAAGGTTTCTGTCAAAAGTAATAACATCTCAAAGGAAATTAATACTAAAAAAACTACTCGTCCTCTCTCTGATAAGGGGAAGGTAGAGTCAAAGCTATTCAGTCAAAAGCCTCAAGCAAATTATATAAAATCAATTGCTACTGGCAATTTAAAACCAAATGAGTCTTCGACCAAAGGTTTATTACCTAAGAAGTCAAGACCTACAGAGAATCATTCCAAGCCAATTCTACCTAAAGATGACAAGCTTACTCGTTTGCCACCACATGTAAAACAAATCGACCTCTTGAATAAAAAGAAACAATTAATACCTCCTAGCAAGCGTAAGTACTAATTTTAACAATCTTTTTTCTTTAATTTCTTTCTTTTACAAATAAAGCCACATTTTTACAGGACGTATAATAGATGATGATGAAGAAGAATATGATTCCGAATTGGATGATTTTATTGACGATGGCCCCGAAGGCGAAGAAAATTATTCCAGCTATATTAAAGAAATTTTTGGTTATGACAAGTCAAAATATAGGGGTATTGATGATGATGTTGATAATATGGAAAGTAGTTTCGCTCAGCAAATGAGAGAGGAAATTAAAAGTGCCAAAATTGGTAATGAAATAATTTATGATCTTGATTAAGTTTTCTGTGATATATATTTTTTTTCTTTAGGTATATTTGAAGATTTAGAAGATATAAAAAAGGAAAAAGAGGAAAAGAGGAGAAAAGCTCTCATGAAGAAAAAGCTCAAACAGCGCTAAGGGTTTTTTCAACTTAATGTGATACTTAGTTTTCGATGTAGTTTATTATGCTTTTATTTGTAATTATATATAACATAAACAGTGGGTAAAGTATTAAATACACTATTTATACAAACATTTGGGTTCTGGGTTACAATAGATCATTGGAATTATCCTATCTAGGAATATCATAATTGCTCATTTAAATATTTTGTGCAATCGATAATATTCAACCATACATTATTTTCTTGTAATTAACTGTTTAAGAAGGGCTGCAGACAGATGGTTTATCATCTGCAAGTTCTAAGAGATTGTCCCGGATTTCCTTACTGATATCTTCAGCTTTGGGTACCTCCGAAATTATCCACGATTCATCTCTACTCTGCAATCTTTCTCTGCATATAGGACAGGTGTCATGAGCTTCATTCCTAAATAGTCACAATGAATTTGTATACATACTGAAAAGATGAGTCCTTTTACCATTCTTCTATGCATTGCAGGCAATAACTGTGTGCACAAGGTAGAGTCAGTTCTTGTTTCCTTTCGAAACAGATACAACATTCCTCTGAGCTGTGAGAATTTGAGCTTTCATTAATATTATCCAAAATTTTTGAAATGTTTAACTTTTCGGAATTAGAACTTGTACAGCTAAAATAAGCTTTTACTATTTGTATAACCAGTTTTGAATATTAATACCATTGACTATGTTCAGCTGCTAAATTTTGGCAGCTGAGGGTTTTGAAAATTTTCATAAATTGGCTTAAACTTAGAAGTCTGTAACTAACGACTTCTTGTGTGTCAGCATTGATTTTGACACAAGCAATCTGAATAGTAGCTCTCCAGAATATAGTGGAGTCTGTCTCTTTTTTCACCATAAATACTAATTGATGCCCATTTGAATCTAAACATTTTTTCGATCTGGAAATCAAACAGTTCTTAAAGCTGATATTTACGATTCTGTGGATACCTATATACTTACAAATGATTCATTTCAGATAATAGCTTCAAAAGATCCTCATAAGAAAGATTATTAATTTCCTCTGATAGCAAAGTAAATATAGGCTCATCATTTAACACCCGAGAAAACGTCTCTCCAAGGCCAGAAGTTGCGCCTCCCATGCTAGAGCATTATTTTGTTTGATCTCTAAATACCTTACATCTATCTCTAAACCTTTCAATAAGGAATAAAATTTATAACCAACAGATAACCTTAGTCATACAATAGGTTATCTATAGTAGGACAGCTATAAATTTGAGTCATTAGGGAGCATGAAGAGTCTTAGTTTTGCGAGGGTGGAGGGCTCAAAAAGATCAATCAATAAAAATAAGCCGAAGGAAAAACGTTTTTGTCCCTACCTTTACCTTTAGTTATTCAAGTTTATGATATAACTTAAGCGTTTGTCGTTTAAAAGTTTGTGTAGAAATTTTTAATTATATTGTGTGGACTAATATAATTAATATATAAACTTGATTGATATTTCGAAATGGTTTATTTTTTACGGTTATTTAAACAAACTACATATAAAATTTTACTCAACGAATTTTTGACCTATATACACTATTGACCATCCTATTATCAATGGTGAAGTCGGAACTCATACAAAATTGTTAGGTTAAATTTGAGCAGTGATATAAAACTTTATTAAATATAATGGCAGATCCCCGTTTCTCTAATATTATTAAAGATCCTAAATTTAGGAGGATTCCAAAAGGGCAGAATAAAATGAAAATAGACCAACGATTCAAATCTATGTTTACAGATAAGAACTTCCACTCAACGTATTCAACAGACAAACGAGGTAGACCTATAAAAAAACACTCCAAAGAGGATCTGGAAAAATACTACAATCTTAGTTCTGAAGACTCAGAAAATGATCAGGAAGATATTGGAAAGTATCCTTTAACGTTGGATCAATCAGATTCAGAAAATGATAAAGGAGAGCTGAATATTAATCATAAAAGTGACAAAGATTTATCAGGCTACGTAAAATCTAAATTGAGAGATCTCTCAGTTGATTATGCCAGAGGTGAAGGAAAGCTGTGTTCAGATAGTTCTTCTGATGATGAAGAATCGGATGAGGATATAGAAAACATTCAATTTGATCATAAATGGGGTGAATTAGATGGTGAAGCAGATACAACTGAAGAAGCCACATCTAGATTAGCTGCTTGTAATTTGGACTGGGACCGCATTAGCGCAGTTGATCTTATGGTGCTTTTTAACTCATTTTTACCCAGTGGTGGTGTTATACATTCGGTAGCAATTTATCCTTCAGAGTTTGGAAAGAAGCGTAAGTTTAAAATGTCCTGAATATGTGCTTTTAAACATCCACTTTTTCAGGTATGATAGATGAAGAGGTTAAAGGCCCGATAGAATTAGTAGAAACCAAAAATGATGGAGTAGATGAATCAGAAGGTTCTCATTATCATATGGAAAAATTACGGCAATATCAATTGAATCGTCTGAAATATTACTATGCAATCATTACTTTCGACAGTCCAAGTTCAGCTAATAAAATTTACACCGAGTGTGACAGAATGGAGTATGAATCGAGCTCAACAAAAATTGACTTGCGATTTGTTCCAGAAGATATGTGCTTTGATGATAAGGCAAAAGATATTTGCTATACTCTACCAGAGAAATACCAGCCTAAATTCTTTACAACAACAGCTCTGCAGCAGGCTAAAGTTGATTTGACTTGGGATGAAACCAATCCTGAGCGATTAGAATTTACGGAAAAACTGAATAGTGGAAAAATACATGCGTTTAATGAAAATGATTTTTGTAATTATTTAGCAGGTAGTGTAATTGTTCACCAATCTGGTATGTCTTTAACAGAAGAATACATTTTTAGGAAGTAGTGATGAAGAAGAAGCAGATGAAATAAGTAATGAAGTACAAGAAGTAACAGATATAAAGACTGATACCAAATCTATAATAGATAAGTATAAATCACTACTGCAAGGTATCAGTGAAAATGAACTAGAGAAGAAACGAGATTTTGAATTTGAAATGACTTGGGATATTGGTCTTAAAGAAAAGACAGATCAGTTGACCCAAAGCAGAATTGATAATAAGCAAGAGGGGACACCATTTGAAAAGTATCTTGAAAAACGCAAAAACAAAATCAAAGATAAACGGCGGCAGAAGAAAAATCAAGATAATGATGAAGATAATTTTGATATTCCTTCAGATGTGGATTTAAATGATCCATATTTTGTGGAAGAATTTAAAAAGTCTAAAATATCTAAGAAAAAAAGTGGAAAAAAGAGTGCAGTAAAAGAAGATTCTAATGATGAAGAAGATAACAAGCAGCTACAATTGTTAGTTGCCAATGAAGAAGAGGAGGATCATAAGCACTTCAATTTTAAAGACATACAAGAAAATAATTCTAGCAGTAAAAAGGAAAAAAAGAAAAAACATAAGGACAAGCAACTTGAAGATAACTTTAATATCAACATTGATGACAAAAGATTCTCAGCGTTATTTACCAGTCATCATTACAATATTGATCCATCAGATTCTCATTTTAGAAAAACTAAGGGAATGGAAACGTTAATAAAAGAAAAATTAAAAAGGAAATATAACACTGAATATGGAAAGTCAAACACAAAAAAATCAAAACAATAAAATTGTTATCGGTTTAATCCTTTTTATACACCAGCAAGCGAAATTAATTCTAAAAAAATTACTGAAAGCCCTGAACTATTGTAACTTGTATCATTTTACCAAGTGAGAGTCCAATAAAAATGGTTTGTTTCCTAATATTTATTTTTTATTGAGCAAAAAGCGAAACTAATAATCCCGTCCAAAATTAGTTTCAAAACTCCCTACCTTAAATAGTTACATTTTTAAAATATTCCAATGTTTCGTCCAAACTATTATATTAGCCAAAAATCGATACAAAAAGATGTCAATTAAAGTATTTTCATCTATATCTCAACTCTATTGTGGGCCACTGCGCATGAGTCAGATATAGGGGGGAAATTTCGACGATTTGGCATGACCAAGGCAATAAAAGAAACAAACCAAAGTTAAAACAAATCAACCGCCTTCACGATGCACAACCTCCCATGCAAAGTTTGACTTGAATTGACTAATTTTAACATTATATATTACGTATATTACGTACACCGTGTAGATCCGCTTATTATTGTTTTTTACTTATATCGCATGTATTTAGTAAATAGATATTAACTTTCTAAGTGCAAATTTCCATGAAATTAAATAATAAAAAAAAAATAGAAATATATTCTCTACTTTTAAGTGGGGACACTAACATAAAATACCAACTTTTTTTTGTTTTAAGAAAAATTCATTGTACGTTTAAGGGTACTGTGGATCTTACCCTATACACTGTACAGGGTGGACCAAATTACTTGTCTCTTATGGGGTATATTACCGTATATTGCAAAATCCAAAATTTTGGTCTATAAGCCCATAGGTACAAAATTTAAAATAAAATACCAATCCCTTTAGTATAGGGTGTAAATTGACTTGGGTTTTTGATAAATAAATTTCGCTTTTCTTATTATGGAGGGCTTAAAGAGTAATCAAAACCAATTTTTCTTTATGAAAGCTCAAAATATTGACTATGATGATTTCGAGGCCTTATCAGATCGTATACTTTTCATGCTTAAATGTATGTGCACTGAAGAAAATATTACAAACATTCGTGAACATTTAAGGCCGTTTTGTAAAAATTTGGTTTATAAATGAAAAAAATCCTTTAGGAAAGATACCGGATTTTTGCTAAAGATTCGCTTTTGGCTTAGTGTAAAATTTGGGTGGCCAAAATTTTGCAACAAGAGCTCGTGTAGCAGTAGCAACAAAGGATAACGAAAACTCTTTCAACATTTGTTTGTCAACGACGGAGGACCGAACCTTTGAGGGAGAGAAATATTAATGACAAATTATTTCTAAAACTATTGTTTTTAGGTTCGATAAAACAAAATATTAATAAAATTATGCAATTTGATCAGTATCACACAACAATATATGAACCTGAGATCGGCACAAGGTGAACACTAATATTTATCGGTACTACTACCAGATCCAGCATGCCAAACAAGAATGTTTACCCCCGAAAAGTTCAGTAATGCTAAATGACACCTTTGCAAGAATAACACATTAAAATAAAAACAAATCAAATTAGGTCCTGGATTTTAAAATTTCATTGAATTAGAATATTTTGATTTCAAGCTACTTTTCTTTATAACGCTTTGTAGTGTCTATGTCAGTTTCTATCTCAGAGCAAAATGTAAAATGAGAAAATTGTCATTCGCCAAGTATCTTCAAAACTAATATAGAGGTTTGGATGATGAATCTAAATAATTTGCTTTAAGAATATGTTCTACATATAAATAGGTTGTTCGAAAACTGAAATTATGTAAGAACGTTAACCAGTCGATTTTTTTTCTTCTTGCAAGAGTTGTTTGGCATATCAGGAATACACTGTATTTAAAATTTTCAGTTAAAAATTGTTAACGGCATGTCTTATACTTATATCAAATTGAAATAAATATTGGAAATTAGTGAAACACACATTTACTGATTTTAAGTTATTTCGCATATCGGGGACTGTTGCAAAATTTTCAGTAAAAAATTGTTAACTGAACGTTTTATACTTATATGAAACCGCAAGAAATAATTAAAATTAGTGAAACACAAAATTTATCACTAAGGCAAAAACAAAAACTAACCAAAACCAACCAAAGAAAAAAATGAACCCTGCAAGCCCGCAATAGGGATATTTCTATTATTTTATATTAACGGGCCCACGCTATAAAAATCTAAATGGAAACATTTTGTTCATTTTAATTTCAACTATTTGCAATAAAATAGAAAATTAATGATACACTTGAAAAAAAGAATTCCTTACGTATTACCTAAAATTATATGTAAAATAACACGTTTAACTACGCTTCTGTATTTTACCTGTCAGCAGTCATCTCTTTTCTTTTGACTTTTGTGTTTGACATTTCTTTTTCCTTGGGAAGTTATTTGAAATCGGGAGAAGTATGTGATTTCGATTTTTATTCCAATGATCCTTTCAGATAATTAATTTTAAAATACAAAACACCACGCTTGATGTATCATAACATTCACTCCCAACAATATTTCCATTGAATTTTTTCCATAGGTTTGACTAAACCTGAATTTTTGTAGGATGTTGATGCCAAAAAAGAACAGGGTGACTATTTATGAGTATCTCTTTAAGGAGGGTGTTATGGTAGCAAAGAAAGACTACCATGCTCCAAAACATCCCGAATTGGAAAGCATACCAAATTTGCAGGTTATTAAAGCTTTGCAATCTTTGAAATCGAAAGGTTATGTAAAGGAACAATTTGCTTGGAGGCACTATTACTGGTAAGTTGATATTAGAAAGCGTTAGTTTTTGTCTGATTTGGTCTACTTTTAATTTGGTCTTACAGGTATCTAACAAATGCGGGAATTGAATTCCTTCGTACATTTTTGCATTTGCCACCGGAAATTGTACCATCTACTTTAAAGAGACAAACGCGCACAGATATTGCTAGGCCTAGACCAACAGCAATTAGACCAGAAGGTGGCCCTAAAACCGCTGAAGACAGGACTGGGTATAGGAGAACACCTGGTGGTCCCGGTCCCGATAAAAAAGCTGATGTGGGTCCTGGTACTGGAGATGTAGAGTTCAGACCTGGTTTTGGACGCGGCAGAGCCCAATAAAGTGTAATTTAGGAATATAATTTTTTAATTACATTTTATGCATTTTTTTCGTTCCTTTGAAAGGTCTGCTGAGGCAATATTGTTTAAGAAAGATTTACCATTTTCTCGCTTTCCTGTAGATCTATGATATAGAGGAGGTTCAGACACTCAATAAAGGACTGCGTACAATAACATTTCCCAAAAGTAAATATTTTAAATGGGGGATGTTTGTCATTGACATTGGTCATTTGACCATATACATTATTTGCCTTCAATTATTTAATTTTTTGAATACAATAGCTGCATATTGATATTCCAATGCAATGGAGAGTTGAAAGTGGCTCAGACACTTTTTTATTCACTTTTAAAATATTTTAATTTTTCAGTACAGTTAAACATTTTATTGGGTCAAAAAATAAACAGATAGGCACTGTATACAATGGATCCTATTTTTTCGAGTGCTTTAATCCATGAGGAATATAAGTCAATATTGGTATTCACCTATTGATTACTAAGCCCTTTTTTTACCTAAAGTAGAACATTTTCAGGCAAATGCTGATTGGAGTCTAAAGACAATAATGTATATTTCGTATAATCCACATACAACTTCTTATCATCATGAAGAATATTTATATTTAAAGGGTTAATAGGTTTCACCAACAGAAAGGGCATGCGGAAATAAAATTAAATATTGGGGTTTTGTTTCTTTCTTATATTCCTCCAGTATTCTCCATACAAAGTACTTACCTTTGCCTAAACAACAATATTTCGGCTAGGTCCATTAAATTATTTGCAGAATGAATAACACGAAGAAAAAAAAAAAGGAAAAAGTGCATAGTAAGGTTTCAAATGTTGTATATTTTCTTTTATATAATACTTAAATCTAATTATAGTTGTATGTTCAAATAATAAATTAGGAGGGAGTGTTGAATAAGTTTTCCTCTTTTTAAATCATTTTATTGCACTGGCTTGGATAAGATTGTCACGGGGCCAGCACTCTCGCACACGCACTCCACAACGGCTCTCTTGTGGAATGTAACACATGAAAAACAGATGATATATATATAAATTATAAATATATTATATAAAAACAAACAGGTGTTCAACATCCAGATAAGGGATGAGACCGCCATCACATATTAGCAACCGACACGCAGTCAGTACTTACGAATCTATCTTTTACTATACAGCTTCACTAAAAAAAAGTCACATAGTATAAAACGAGCAAATAGTTGCGTAGCTATGCCTTTAGTGGGCGGGGTAACAATCCATATTTAAAACACAGCCTCGCAAAGCCCAAAATACTTTTAGGTATTCTCTCTTCGTTTACAGTTAAATTGCTAAAAATTATACATAAAAATGTACAGTTTGTATGAAACATATTTACAAAAATTTCAAAGTGTTTCCCGTATACTACACAATATATAATATATACATTTTCTCAGCTGCTCGTAACTTATCACTCGTTATCATGACATGGTTTGTACAGTAATCACTCCAATTTGTTTTTCTATTTTTTTCAACTTGCTGTCACTTTATCCTAGCTACTCATAGCTAGTTTTATGGTTTGCATCCTGACTGACCCTAAGGTTTTCCACCAGCTGGACAGTCATTCGTTCGGGACCGTATTATATGAGGCTAACAGCGCCCGGCACCACTAAAGCTGCTCCACGAATTTGCTCAACTGATCCTGAGGGGTCATGGGAGGTACTTCGCTGTCTTGACTGGCCGTTCCGGCTGGACTAGCGTGTGGGTGCAGCGTGCTCGTGTGGTTTTGGCCCAGTAACATTTCGGAAGATGCGAGATCATGAGGTGAAGGTTGGGGCCCTCGCGGGCTCGACACAGCCTGGTTTCGTGGCGATACGGAAGGTCGCGATGGGCTCGGTTGCGGACTTCTAAAATTAGAAAAAGTAGTTGCCCATATAACAAACTGCCATTCAGTTGACGGTTATTCTTTATTATTAATATTTATTTAATAAGGCCGCTAACATTAGTATGATGACTCAATCAGAAGTGACAAATGTCGAAATAGCAATGGCTACAACCTACCAAAAGCCTCGAATCGCTCCCAAAGCCTTGACCAAAGTATTGGAAACGTTCGAAATGACTCAACAGTGATTAACGAAGCCGATATCTTTAAGTGACACTTTGCGCATGCTTAATCAATGCATAATTGGGTATTTTAAAGGGAACAGTAGATAAAACATTAAAATATCCTTGTACAACTGAAATATTTTCAGGACCACATCTATTTTTCTCCAAATCTGACTATGGTAACTCTAATGTTATCTATATTAATATGACCTGATAGGAGATCACATAGATTGAATTATACAGGGTCATGTGCTCTATCGGTATAAAATATTTTCAAGTATGCAGTGCTGCCGCTTCTATATAAACGTTGCAACATCTTGCTTAGTGTAAATGGTACCCTCTGTATATAATTTCGTTTGTAAACTCGACTCAAGAAATTAGATTTTGTTCAGGTTTATAAAAAATAATTTCCTCGATTTTTAAGCAATTTGGAAAACTTGACGAAATCTTAATAGTTCCGTGGTTTAATTAGGCGAAAAGTCTAACTTTTCCAGACAGTTTCTGGGGGCTTAGGCATTCGTTCCTGCACATTTCCATTTTAGACGAAACTTAGAAGGTGTTTCAATGATAAGAGTTTATATGACAGTTGTAGACACACGATTTATTGATTTTTTAAACACCCTGTACATTCTTTCATTTTCGAATTGTTCAAGTTTCTCGTAACGTCTTTGAAATAAAAATTAATTTTCATGATTTTTACGTAATATTACGAAGAAAATTTCGCACATAGACAGAATGAACTTCGTATAACCTCATTTTCATTTCATTTGCGTTTGTTTCAAACTATTTCGCTATTTTTCGGCCTCCGACGATAATAATCCAAACAGATACGAGAAATAAATTGCTAGGTTGCGCTGTTGACAAGAACGTGTAACAAGCACTTACGTTGAAGCTTATGAATAACAAAAAGTTTTTAAGGATTGAAAGATATTTTATCGAATCAAGTCTACATTAAAGCCATCAAGGTTTTTGTAAATCCCATGATAAAAATAATAATAAAAAAAGTTTTAAAATCAGCCAAATTGCAAATATTGATTTAAGAAGAAAACAAACCAAAATTAAAGATATAAAATTGAAACCAAATTTTTGTTGGAAACCAGTTTCTCTATCAATATGAGGATTTTTAGCGATCCAAAAATATTTATTTCTGCCATTACAATGTCCATCCTTGCTAAATTTTGATTCATCTGTTCATATAAGTCTGCCCATAAAATATCAACTTCCTGGCATTTAATTAAAAGCGCGGCACAAAATTCGGTTTTTGCATTTTATAGTTCTCAAAATCGTCTGAATCTATCTCCGCGTAAATCTTCTTCGACATAAAGTTGAGACGATTCGGGGTCAACTTCAAAATAAGCTAGATTCGCTTTCTTGATTGGTCGTCAAATGCTCGATTCTATCATGTACATCCGCTATTTATATAATTATTTTCAATTCAAAACTTTTTATTATCAACAGGATGCAACATAGAGCACTTCTCATTAGAACTTCGACATGTTCCGCTAATTTTCTTATTAGATTGACCATAAATTATAAATAAGTTCATAATTACTTTTGTTGAGTTATTATTTTGCTCCAATTTATTTTTGGAGCTTGACCAAAACTCCAAAGTCTTCTTTGTGAACAGAGTAACAATTTAAAAAAGGTCAACCTTTAATAATTTTGTCAGATTATTATAATTAAAATGGATGTCGAAACAGGCCGAAATATTTGGAAAGAAACTAAAATTAAACGAAAATTAATTTTTACGGAGTTTATTCTATGTGCATAACTTTCTTCGAAATGACGGTGTTACGTAAAAATCATGAAAATTATTTTTATTTCAAAGAGGTACGCAGAGGGAAACTTGAACAAAATTGGGTTAGTTTCTCTCCCTGAATTCGAAAATGAAAGAATATACAAAGTGTGCTATTATGAAACTCAATAAACCGTGTTTATAGAACTCCCGTCATTTAAACTAAGCAAGATGTTGAAACGTTTATATAGAAGCGGCAAAACTGCGTACTTTACAGGAACCCACCAACAAACTGTACAATTTAAAGTAAATCCCTTGGTCCATTCCCTAGATACTTCTAATAATCCATCCCTTGTACGCCACCCGGTATATTATCACACCTATAACTTTATGGCAGTCAACAATTACATTTGCTGTCATTTTTTGTTTATTATCCTGTTTAGTACTCCCAAAAATTGTATCTTATGTTCCGTCAGTACTGATTTGTAGTGTTAATCCCATTTATTCTTTTCAATGAAGTTAACATTCGTTATATACTTTTTTTTCTGAGACTTTTCAAAAACTTCCAGGCCTGTGTTACTCTCGTTCCTCCTAAGTATCTTTCTATGTTTTCACACTTTTTCTCCCATATTTCATTCTTTCTTTTGGCAACTTCTTTTTGGCTTCTCTGCTTAGTTGAAGATAAATTTCACGGTCTTCCGGATTTTTCGTGTTTGGCTAGTTATGATAAACTCTTTTCTTTTGCTCAACTTTCCCCTTTGGTTTTTCCGAGCACAACTCCGGCTGTTTTTCTTTGTCTCTATGATTCAGTCCCAAAGCTTCTTTGGTCGCCTGCTCATATTCTTCTTCGGTAGTTTCGTTTTCCTTCATTTCTGCCAAGTCTCGTCGCTAGCCTTAGTTTGTATAAAAACTGAACCGATTCTGGTGCTAGCCTCTCTAAATGATATTTTTTATCGGTTTTAGAGTGTTCATGATTTTCCGACGTTTGGCTTTTCCTATAATTTATTATTATTGTTGCCACTAGTGGATCATGGTTCGATCCACATTGGGCTTCACGATTTACCCTCACGTCCTTTGTTTGAATGAAGTAATCTATTATTGATGCTAATTTTCCTTTGGTTGTTCCCAGGAGAACTTATGAATGCCTTTGTGTGGATAAAATCCATTCATTATTTTCATGTCCATGTTCGCAAGACGTTCCCCGTTTTTATTAATTCGTTCTTCGCCCATATCTTCCAATAACTTTCGCTATTTCTTCCTTGCCTACTTTGGCATTTAAATCGCCGCCGCAAAATTATTTTTTGCAGCTTTGAATTGATATGATTAGCAATGTTCTCTCTAGTAGACAAAATAGTATGATCGCTCTGCATGGCATCAAAGATCTTCGCAGAGGTTCAACAAACCTATTAACATAAGTTACGTTTTGTTCTATTATTTCCCATTTGAAATTATACCTATAAAGGAGCAGCTTTTTTAAATATATTTATATTTAGCAATCTTTTAGTTTCAGTTTGATTCAATTTAATATTTATATTTCCGATTATTTTTGGATTTTTTTTGCACTCAATTATTTGCCTTTCATTCAAACCTGAACAAACCAACACTGCACCATAATGCTTTCAATTAATTATCATAATAGCTACAAGTTTGCTACAAAAAAAAATAACTGCAATTTAGTTTACCTTATGGGGGGCGGGCTGCGCACGCTCTGCATGAGTTGTTGCTGTACTGACGAAATTCCCTGACCTTGCGGTGGTCCCATGACGCCCTGAGGCGACTGTACAGGCGGCGGTGTCGGCTTCAGACCCTGCATTGGGGAGTACTGCTGCTCCCCAAACGAATTGTAGCCCATGTGGGGTTGCCTGATCGCGGGCAACCTCTGCTGGTAGGAAGAACACGCGCCCGGCTGTTGGAATCCCTGCTGCTGGGCCACTTGCTGCTGCTGCTGATTGTTTCAAAACATGTTATGAACATCGAGCGACAGATTCAACTTTAAAGTTTTACCTGTTGTTGCTGTTGCCTTTGCATCGCCAAGAGCTGCTGATGTTTGTACCACTGCTGTTGCTGTTGCTGCTGCTGCGTCAGAGGTTGACCGGGACCGCCCGGTCCCTGAGGCAGACTCGGTTGGGCCTGGTTCAACAGGCCACCTTGGATGGTCGCCATGCGATTAGGGTGCTGCTGCTGGGCAGCAGGATTCTGCGTATTCAGCATGTGTTGGAGTTGTTGTTGGGAGGGATTCGCGCCACCTCCTTGCATTTGCTGAGCTTGGGCCTGAAGAACATTTTTGATAGGTACATAATCTAGGGGGCTGTCCAAAACAGGTATTACCTGCCGCTGCTTGATAAATGCCGCCATCAGCTGCGGATTGGCCTTGAGTATCGACAGGATCTGCTGTTGCTGTTCGGGGCTATGTGGTGACCTTAAGGTGTGCATGAGCTGCTGCAACGCCTGCTTCTGAAGCATGTTACCCGCGGCGCTAACGGTACTGCCCATTGGGCCTACCGCGTTAGGTGAGGCCCCCGTCGCGCCGGGTCTCACTAATCCCGCGACACCGGGTTGACCGGCAGCAGTCGCTTGCATATTCGGCGGCCCAGGCTGTCCCATTTGACCGGCACCTACTCCTGCGGCGCCCTGCTGCATTGGTTGACCCGCAGGTTGTCGTATGCTCGGACCTACGCCGCCCGGATACCTTTGTTGCCACTGCTCCATAGGAAGTAGATTTCCGCCTAGAGATGATAAAAAATAATATATGCTTTAAAATGATTTTTCCTTTAAAATTATTTAAAAAATTATGGATTTTTTTTTTAAGTAAATTTCTATTTTATAAAATAAATCGTTGGACTTTTTAAAGAAACTTCCACAGGCTACTGGAATACTTTTTATGAAACTTCTGGATTCCTCCTGCGTCGGTTTTTGTTGACTCGAACTAGCTAACGTTTCATCAATCATCCAGTTGGCTTCTTCAGAGCTTGACTGAAACTGGCTCGCATTTTACTCTGTACCTGCTTATATATTGTTTGAGGCGGGCGGAGCTAAATGAGGGGCATAAACACAGTCTTGGATGACTGATTCCCATATTGGTGAAAGGTAGAGACCTGAGGCACACATATAAACAGGTCGTAATAGATTTTTAATTACCAGTGTACGGTTAGGCCAGTAGTTTCTTTGTAACAGCTTGTTCAGTTAAACTTTCAACAAGATTAATAAAAATTTTAGAATATCATATTGCCTTTAAACCTACATATGTTATCAAAAATTTGTTCGATTCGTTGATAGACAATGTTCTCACTCAATCACATCATAAAACAAAACTTGCTAGATAGTTTAATGCTTTATTCAGACAAATATTATTTATTATTTCTTGGTCAATTTTATATTGCTAAAAAAGGATTCATTATGGGAAACCCACTTAGTCTACTACTTGCAGAAAACCTCCTGTGAATAAAAGATTTCCTTGGTGGTATAGATACGTAGAGGATGTTTTTGCTTGTTTCACTGGAACAGGGAGACACCTGCAGTCTTTTTTGAATCATTTAACTCCATACATAACTGTATAAAATTTACCATAGAGACGGAACTGGATAACTCTTTAACCTTTCTGGACTTAACTATTAACTAAACCACAGAACAAATTAGATTTTTCCATTTACCATAAACCCTCACACACGGACACAATAATACATAATAACTCAAATTACCCTTACACACACAAAATTGCTGCCTTTTATGCTTTTATTATCACTTTCTAGAAAAATTTGGAAAAAGTATTAAATATTATAAAACAAATAATTTTTAACAATAGTTATGATCCCTCTTTAACATTGTAACTAAAAAGCAGTTTCAAATTACTATGAACCAATAAGACACATAGGAGAACCTAGCAAGAAAATTTCGAAGCATCTATCTAAATTGTTCTTGATTGCTTTTAAACATGAAAACGCCATAGGACCTTTTTTCAAAAACAACAAAACTAAATTAGGAAAAACTCAAAAATGTGGGGTGTACAAGTTGAAATGTGAATCATGTCCCAAAATTTATATCGGACAAACAGGTAGAACGAACATTTAAGAAACGCATTAACGAACGAATATATAAAAGTGACTATAAAAGTAAAGTTCAGATTTTAAATATGAATTTGAATAAAATTTGAATTCAGAAATGAACAAGTTTAACGATAATTTTGATATTTTACATAATGAATTAAAGAGTAAAAAACTAAATTAACGAATAATTAGATCTATTACTTAATGACCAATTGGATTTAAATGCGTCTCCGTTGTTAAACTAAATTTACAACCCGATACTAAAAACTAAAAATCTATTATTACCTGTTTTTATATATGTATCGGAATATGGTCATATTTTGTATTTGATAAAAGGCACGGTGTTGCAGAAACAGCTGTCATAAACCAATAAATAAATAAATAAATGTGAAAATCTGAATATATTTTGTTCTAATTTAATTGTAGAAATAAATAGTAGAAGTAGCTTAATATAAGCAATTAACGTGGTTTTACCTTGAGCTCCACTAAGATGACCTCCCATACGAGCTATAGGCGGAGGCGGCATATTTTGCCCTCCGACTTGGCCAGGCGTCACTTTGCCATAGCCAACATGCGGCGCTTGTTGACGGGCAGCTTCCTCCTGGACTTGCTTGACCACTTGCAGCACATTGGCGGGCGGGGTTTGGGTTCCCGGTTTTAGACCAATGCCCGGTGGATGCGGAGACTGAATGCCCATCGCCGGGTTGGCCAGCCCTAAAGAAAAAAAATCGACTGCAATACAGAAAAAAGATTGCAGTCAATGACTATTCATACCTGAATTCATTCCGCCGGCGGGACTTATCGCCCCGGGCATCACCTGCTGTACATTGCCCACCCCCATGGGCACGCTACTGTTTGCCCCGGGCATAGCACTGGTTGTAGGGGTGGTCCTCGACATAACCGCCATACGTCTTCTCAGCAATTGGGCTTGTTGTAATCTTTGCTGAAGCTGTTGTTGCTTTAATTTGTACTTTATATTCGGACAGAATGGCACTGGGCACTAAAATGGAAAAAAAGACCATTAACACAACTACTCATACTGACTACACACTTTAATTTTACCTTGGTCTCTTGGCAATTTTTAGCATGATAGCAGCACAAGGCAATAAGTTGCTTGCAAATAGGACAACCACCGTTTGTTTTCCTCTTGCACACTTTTGTGTGCTGCACCACGCGTTTCATCTTCTGACAACTGGGCAATCGGCAGTTGGCGTCTCGGCATTGACAGGCGTGCACCAATGATTGAATGCACCTCTGCAAATAAATTACATTTAAAGAAAGGTTTATAACTGTACAAGCATTATTCGAATTACGAAATTCGAAAAAATCTGATAACAAAAAGATTTGCTATCAGGTTTACCTGGATTGACAACTTCCTGATCTCATTTGGATTGGCCTTGTTGTCGCTTGGCGAGCTAGCATCGTCCAGCCCCAAGCCAAGTTTCTCCATGCGATGCGGGTGGCCCTCTTTTTCATAGCATGGCACGCAGAGGTCAAAGTCCTCGCATTGCGTACAGTGGTAGCGGGTTTCGACATTGGACTTGCACGAGTTGCACGTGTAAATAAACTTATCCTGGCCTTGGTTGTGCAGCTCATACAACATTGACATTGTACTGTATTTGGCGCGACGTAGCGACGAGAACTCAAAATGCTTTTCGCGAGCGAGGGTGAGAAAAGCGTCGCGACCGTCCATAAGGTCGCATGCGATAAACGGATCTGGGTCTTGGATTGGCTAAAATCGATGTGCTTTGTTTATTGAAGTTTTGATAGAATCATCTTTAAAGCACCCTACGACGAATTAATTATAATTATTACCTTTAAACTGGCAGCTGACTGAACAGAATGCAATCGGATAACAAAGAATACTTCTTTGTGTTTTTCCATAGTGGCGAATATTTTGGCAGACAGATCATTGCCAGTTTGAGGGGTATTCGACTTTTTGTTACTGTTTTTCCTTTGGTTTGCTTTGGATTTTGTGCTTTTCTTCGCCTTTTTCTGACCTTTTTTCTTGCCGTCTGGTCCAACCTCACTCTCCTCCATCGAAGAAAAGATCTAAACAAAACCGCACAGCGTGAATATATGTAATATATTATTGGGAATTGGGTCATTACCGCAGCCTCAGCAGCCTCAGCTTGTTTCCTTTTCTCTTCTTCTTCTTGATCAAGCTCTTTAATGCTCTCTTCTAAAACATTGGGCCAGAAATCGCCCTCGAAGTACGGAAGATCCGCCGCTGATCTAAGATTGTCTTCCATTGCTTGTTTGAGAATATCCTAAGCAACATATACAATCCTGAATAACTATGAACACACGAAAGTGGTTTTCATGGTCTTTGACAATGGCAGAAATTATCTTTGAGTCCATAGCCATAGCAATAAATTTGAATTATAATTGACATTGATTGTTTCAATTCTGTCGTTTGAAAGAACACGATTAAAAGTCGACAACCGATATTCAGTTATTTATTTCTCAGTTAAAAGTAAAATTAGATTCTAGATAGCAGTGGACGAATGTGCCAAACTGTTGCTGAAATCATAGGAATTTATGGATACTTGTTGCAGGTACTTTTTAAATATTTGTCCGAAATAAAATTCATTGTTACACTACTTGCAGCAGAAGAGCCGTATATACAAATTTTCATCAGAAATACAAGACAAAAAATGAACGACTCTTACGAATTATATGTTAGATTGAATAAACAATAAAGCTAGTAAAATTTGGGTCGGTATGATAAATTCCGTAAATAAAAATTGACGTTATTCGGTTTACATGTATGTCACGGGCGCTCGATGTTTGAGAAATATTTAATAGTAAAATTGTTCCACGAACCATAAGTATTACTCCAAATCTCCATTACAACTTTTGCAACCACGGTTGCGTTAAAATTTTCGTCGCCCTTTTACAACTTTGCAAGATAGAGATTTTTAAAGATCGAATCCTTGAAAACTTTGCACCTGGGGTAAGTGATCACAAGCATATAAATTATGTACCATATTACTAAAAAAAACTATAAAACATTGTAGTATCAGACCTTTCTGGAAATGCGCTTTTATATCCATGACGGAATAATTAAAAACAGTCGACGAAAGAATGAAAAACCGCTGACGGTGCCAGGTTTACTGACTATGCTTATGCCTCCAAATGTAACACTACTTATTTTACCATTAGACTGAGAGATGTATTACACTTTATTACTAAGCTATATTACAGGAAAAACTACCTTTGGTAATATCCAAAAGTCAACATATAGCAGATACACGTATGCGAATTAACTTAGAAGATACAGTCATACCCTTGTATAACAATTAACAATTGAAATATGTTGGTATAAATCTTTGGGAAGACTTCGTGAAATTTGAAATGGCGAAAGGTCCGAAAATGTAATTGAAGACTATTCGTTTGTTACGAGCTGTTGAACCAGTGAGTGGTAAAATTTAATAGACAATTGCAGTAGTGAAAAATTCTATTATTTTTTCCTTCCTAACAAAAACTAAAATTACTATATATTTTAAATAATAGAAATTATATAAAATAATAAAACATACGCGTTTAAGCAGAATGGCATTTTTTTATTATTAGGATATGGCCACTTTTCACTTACAATTTCAAAAGTGAGAACAAGCATATTAATATGAGGTAGAAAATTTGTTGGTGTTCACACACAAGTGCACTGTAGAAGGCGAGTCAACGATAGAGTAAATAAAGTTCATCATCTCATTGGTTTCAAAATTTATGAGAACATCCTATTTTTACATTTTGTTTTGAATTTCTTTTAAAATTATTCAGCTTTTTTATTAATAATAATATATACCTAAACCTAATAGTTTTTCTATCTATACTTTGTTGGCAGTAAGGCTTTAAAATGTGTATACCAACTAGACAATCTTATCAATAGAATGGTTTGATGCTAGTGGTAGTATTGAATATTAAAAACGGAAAGTGGTAAACCGAATGAGGCAAAAGAATTGAAAATTTTAATTTTTTTTTTTAAGTTTAAGATAATATTCATGTCAGTGACCATCAAGTAGCTAGTTTATGACACATCCCAATCTACCGTTAACCGCATCATTATAAAACACAAACATCCCTTCCATATACTAACTACACCTTTATAAATGAAGCAACAGAGGAATGAAGTTTTTTTGTCCAAAATAATGTTTTCTCATAAGCTACTTTTCGCAATAATGGTGCACTTAATCATCATAATATGCATTATTATTCAACAGTGAATCCATTCTGCGTTCGCGAAGTGCAAAACCAAAACCATTGGTCGCTTACTGTATGGTGTGAAATAAAACACTTTAAAGTTATTGAACTATATTTCAACTTTTTGCAGAATGATTTACTTCAACTTCTTCAAGATATTGACATTGAGATCCAAAAAAAATATGATTTCAGCAAGATGGAGCTCCTTCGCATTACCATCGAGAAGTTCAAGAATTTTTCAATATATAAATACTATACTACAAATATGCCACGAATGTAAAAAATGCTAATTTATATGAGACAAAAAAAACAAATATCAAAATCAATTTAAGTTTTTGCACATTTTGATTAATAATTATCTTAAGGCTTAGACAATGGTTTGAACAATTTGGTAATTTTCTCTTGCTTGACAGTTTTTAAAAGTTCCTTCAATTCAGACTGATACGCACGAATCGCATTAGCAATTAATTTGCTTCTTAAAAATAAGATTTCGTGCCATTCATATCAGGATTACATTCCATATTTTCCAATATGATTTTGAAGGTTCGTAATAGAGCTTAAAGGCCTGGATGATTCCTTGGTCCATAGGTTGAAGCAAAGCCGTCGTGTCACTTTTATGCATAGTTTGAAGTTCGCGAGGATGACCTGGTGCATTGTCCAAAACTAGAAGCGCTTTAAAGCCTAAATTCCGTTTTTTTTTTAAACAAGCTTCAATTTTAGAAACAAAACAATTTCGGCAACAGTCACAAAAAATAACACTTGCAACCCACCCTCTTATTAGCACGCCAAAAGACTGGCAGGTGTCCTAGTTTTGATTTTTTAAAGCTGGAGGATTAAACGATCCGTAAAGCATCAGTGGCTTAATGATACAATCTCCTGATGCATATGAACATAGCAGCAGTGTAACTCTATCCTTTGCTGACTTTTCGCTTTTACAAAATAATGTTTTGTTTGACGTTCTCTTCCAAAACAGTGCAGTTTCGTGTGCATTAAATATTTGCTCAGGTTTGTATCCTCAATCAGCTACTAGGTTTGCCAATTCTTTTGGATATAGTTCTGCTGCAGCAGTATTTCCAGAAGCTGTACATTCATCACTACAACTATCATCAGGTTCTTTAAAATGCGCGGACCATTAGACCACACAGATATGATATGATATGATATGGATGCAAATAACTCTCCAAGGCGTAAACTATCAAGCAACTAGTTCCTCATTTTTTTTTAGTTAATTTTTGTGACGAATGTGAAAGACAAAACAATAAAACACGCAAATCGGCTTTGTCATACGGAACTGCAACATTTAAATATATACTTTATTCATTGAGTAATAAGGTTGCTTTCATTCTGTTTGTTTACCAACAACCATTTAACAACATACTTTAGGCAAATTAATATGATCCATCTATTTTACTTTTTTTATTAGTCCATTTGACGGCATTTACCATTTACCAAGGAGAATGGGGTGGTTACCTATTAGAATCCTTTTCTTATTATATATGTACTTAGTAAATGCGTGAATAAGGAGCTTTTACTATAATCATTACCCACAGGAAAGAACCGGTAGAGCATGGCCCCCTCGATCACATGACTCAACACCAGTAGATTTGTTTTTGAGGGGATATGTTAAAGATCGTGTTTATGTGAATCCCCCAACAACACAAGAAGATATGGAAAATAGGATTCGGGACGCGTGCAGGAGAATAACACCATTTATGCCAAGGAACGTCCAAGAAAATATACGCAAAAGAATATACATGTGTACCCAAGTGCATAATTTTGAACATTTATCGCGCCATAATAATAATTCAAAATGAGATAAGATAAATTGTAGTAACAGTTATTTAATATTCTTTACTTTTTCTGTGAATTTAAAATTTCGCCGTTATTTTCACCAAAATTGCTATTAACTGTATGTTGCCTTATCTCACAAAGTTCTTTCTCCTGTGCATTTTTTAAGCTTAAGTTTTGATATTTTTGTCATGGCCACCTAATATTATAGTAAGTCTTAAACGGAAAGAAGGGTACACATTGGAAAAGTCATATTTAATTAAATGTAAAGATTTTTGAATTTAAAATGATCCAAATATATTCCTTCATTTTAAACACCCTAAAACATCTAATTTAAATTCCTTTGCATATATATTTTTTACCTCAACTTCGAATAACGGTAATATCAAATTTATATTTGTTATATATTTATATAAATTTAATATTTTTTGAAATTAAAATATTGGGAAAGCTATTAGGTTTAGGTATGCATTATTATTAATAAAAAAAGTTGGAAGAATTTCGAAATGAATTCAAAACAACAGTTAAAAATAGGAATTTCCATTAAAAGAAAACATGTTTTTATATTTTTATAAAAAAATGGTAAATACAAAAATTTTATAATAAAGAGGAGGACAAAACTGAACCCAATACACCAGATCTAATAACGATGATGATGAACGAGCGATGAGATGGGTACAGAAAAGAAAGAAATAGTAAAGGCATTTCAAAAATTAAAGAATAGAAAGAGCCAGGGCCATGATAGATAGATAGATAGATAGATAGAACGTGCTACTTAAATAGGGAGGTGAAAAGCTTAACTAACAGTTATCAGCTTTATTCAAGCGTATAGCAAAATGATTCTCTTGTTCAAAAAGGGAGATAAAAAAAATCCCGAGAACCACAGTGGCATAAATTTACTATGTACTTTCTTGAAGTTAACTACGAAGATAATAATGAACAAAATTAATGAATATATTACACTAGCAGATAAATAAAACTTGAAGAAAACCTTTGATCAAATACAATTGGAAGATATAATACACCTTTACAATCGACAAATTCCGTTCAATATCATTAAAACAATTGAAAATATTTACAGGGAAAATGGCATTCGGCAAGAGGACTCTTTAAGCCCGCTTCTTTTTAACATCGTAATGGATGCAATAATAAAACAAGGTCGCAAACTAAGAGGATATAAAATGGTAAATAGGGAAGTGAAAATTCTATGCTATGCAGATGACGCGGTTCTTGTGGCGGAGAACGAGGATGGATGATCTTCAAAGACTTCTGTATAAGTTCAATAAAACAGTCAAATAACTTAATATGGTTATATCAGAGGCAAAAATAAAATCGACGGTCACTTCCAAGTCACCGATCAGATGCAAACCAGGAAATGAAATTCAAATATTTGGGAATTGAAATATCTAGATGCGGAGACGTTCAGACAGAAGTAAAACACCAAGCTACAAGAGCGTCCAGGGCTGCAGCATACCTGAACAAGAACATATCAGAACTGAAACAAAAGCTCAGATATATAAGATTGGTAACACACCTATACTCACCTATGCAGCAGAAACCCAACCTGAGACCTCGAAAACAAAAAGAATATTAGAGACCACAGAACTGAAAATAGTTGGAAGAATAGCGGGAAAAACATTCATGGATAGGGAAAGAAATGAATATATTGGGCGGGTGTGCGGGGGAAAATGACATCAATGACTGGGTGTTGGATTGAAAGATAAAATGAAATGAACACATTGCTCTTATGGCAGAAGAATGAATAGTGAAAATATTGAAGTAGGACGAAGGAGCCTTGAAAGACCTAGGAAAAGGTGGCGCGAGAACCTCCCACATCACTGATATGAAGTAAAGCGGGCAAACAGTCCTATATGCAGTAGCAAGAAGAAGAAATATTTACCGCTTCCTTAGGATCAGGTTGGCTACTGAATATTTTAACATAAAATATTTCTCAAAAATCAAGCTCAGAAAACTGCAATTACGACTATCGACTATCCTGTACATATCGATCTAAATGCTTCTAAAACTGCAGGTAAAAAAAATCTCGAAAATAGATTTCCCTGTCGCGAAGGGTTTGGGCACACCACGCTTGAAGAAAAAAAAAGTATTATTTCGGAACCAATATTTTTATATAGATCTAAAACATGTTTTATCTTACCTTATAGTCGACGATTATCCTCTCGATGATGCCCTTGTCGAGCATCTTCTTGTACCAGTCCTGTAGGCGTTTCGGCTTTGGTATTTTCTGATCGGGCGGATGACAATGGAAGATGTAGTCGTCGCCCTCGCTGGGCGGACATGCCCATATATGTGCCATAGTATATCCCAATTGTTTAACATAGTCCAAGTAACCGAGCAAGATCTCGTGATACACAGCGGTCCTAAACTGTTTTGGTTTAAAAAAATGCACCGAATCGAGATACGCGATGTAAACGCGACGCGTATTGGGCACAGGACACTCGCTCCCGTATTCCTGGACGTGCATACCGAAAAAACACACGTCGACGCCGTCGATCTCTTCAAACGCGAAGAGAGCTTTCGCCCGGTAAGGGAACTCAGCCGACAATTCACCCGACTCGACGAACTTTCCGCGCATCCCGGGCTTAACCTCGACGGTTTTCTCGCTACTTGACACGACCCGGATATGCACTTCGCCCGCTCCCGCTTCCTTTTTCTTCAGGAATATGTTCACCCGATTTTCGATGTAAATGCCCAGATTCGTGACCGTCAATCGTTTCGCGTTGAACTTATTTTCGCGCCGCTTCATGTTCTTCATTTTGAGACACTCCTCGCACGCGAAACCCAAAGGCCAGATCGCTTCATGGTGAAGCACACAAATCTTGTGCAGTTTGCGCCCGCAATCCGTGCAGTGAACGAACTCTTCCATCTCCAAGTGATCGTTTTTCATTTCCTTGAATTGGTCTTTTTTTATTGCCCTGCAAATCAGTTCTTGGGCTAAATAAATTTGCCAACTGGGAATTTGATTATAAGGGAGAAATCGGAATATTGCGATTATTTAACAAACTGAATATTCTAGTATCAAGTTACTAAATTGAGTTAAAACATTAAATTAAATTTTATTTATTTATTAACAGCAAAAAGGATAACACATTTTTAATTATACACAACCCCATTAACTGAAATAATAAAATAAATAAAAAATAAAATTATCAGAAATACCCAAAAATAAATCAATATTTTGCGGTAACCTCTTCACTGACACTAATTTACAAGAGACCGCGGGGCGGGGGGTAACGATAATATAATATATAGTTATAGGCGGATATAATTTATGTCTCAGAAGCAAACCTTGAGAACTTTACCAGCGGTATGAAAGAAGTCTTAAGATTTATTTACATACCTAATTATGATACTTAAAAAGGATAAAAAAAAATTGATTATAGAAAACCCCATAAACTGAAATATAAAATCATCAGGATTACCCAAAAACAAAACAAATCAATATTTTGCGGTCACCTCTTCACTGACTATACCAGGACACACAGGGGGGGGGGGGGGACTATAATAAATTACTTAGTCCCTTATAATATTGAGTTATAGACAGATATGCCTCAAAGGCCAAACCTTGAGAACTTTACCGGCCGTATGAAGGCCAAATTACATATCAAATTATGACACTAACAATGCAGATATACTAAATTTGGGTATCCTATTAGAAGAATATGTAAATTGAAAAACATATAGATTATCACAATTCCCTCAAATATGCGGAAAGTAGTTTATACTTCATTAATTGAATTCACAATTAATTACATTCATTAACTTGGCGTGATGCAAACAGAACCACAATGAGATTCATGTTAACCTACACAATTAAATTATCAATATCCCAAGCGATAGAAAGATTGGACCCCTTTATTACATGATTGTAATGGTGTAACCTTAAACACGAGCTTCTAATTGAAATAAGTACCTAATTACATATGTTCGAAATAGCAGAATCATATATTATTGACACATTAGAACAAAAAAATAATAATAAAAAGCAAAATGTATAAAAAGAATATACTTACGTCTGCGCTTGCGTGGGATCATCACCTAAAGTGACTGTGTCTCCTTGAATATCATTAAAACATTTCTGACAAAACGTGTATCTATCAGATCCAAGACCATAGGCCTTTAAACTATAAAAGAAAATCCAGATAAGTATCTGCTCCCAATATGGATAAATCTACATATAAAGGTAAGAAATACATTTTTATTGATAGATATATTTTTTTAAATATGGATGGCAAAAACTTAGAAAAGGTGCGTTTTCAATTTGACAATGAACAACTTACCTGTTCTGGTAACTATAGTATTTGGCATCCCTAGGAATGGTACACAACTGTTTCCCATAACAGCAGAGTACTTGAGGATTGAATGTGTACTTCCTGCCGCAGCAGTAGCCCATGGACTGCATTACGGGATCAATCTCCTGTTCAAAAATCTCCGACAACTGAAACAAATAATAGGCTGACTTCCTGCGAGCACCTAAATTCGGCTATGAAACGCTTACCTTCGTGCAGTACCGATAGACGCGGCTCGTTTTCCTGTTGTAGAGCCAGGCATTGTCAAACATCTGCCATACATCGTCGACGTACTCCCACGGATCTTGGTATTGCCCAATATCCAGTTTTCGTTTGATGGTAGACAGGTCCATGGGTTTCTTCACAATGTCAAAGTAATCAGGGATGCCTAACGACTGAGGATCGACCGGTTGTCGGAAAGGTATACTCTCGGGTTCATGCCGATACAATTTTTCTAATATCGGCATTAGCTTTTGACGCAACTCATCTGGTTTAAAAACTACAGAACAAAAATATCAGGATAAAATACACTTTAGGCAACACTATACCAACCTTTAACTTTCTTTCCGGTTTCGCCGCCTGATGACGCCGCTGTATCCGAAATCTGGGGTTTCATATCCATGGAGCCATCCCCTTGAGTATCGTCTTTAATTGAGCACTTTTCATCCTTAACCACATTCGACCCGTTCTCATGTAGAAATTCCGATTTAATTTCCGTTTTAATTTCGCTTTTAACCTCCTGCATGTTCTTACCACCAGAACTGTTCTCGTTCTGGTTGTCAATCAGTTCACTTTCAGGTTCTTGCTTAATTTCCATTGGTTCCATTTTTATTTGGTCTAGTTTGCCTTTGGTGCCACCCGAAGGTGAAGGCGAGTCTTCGTTTTGTTCCGCGGCCGCCATCACGGCGGCCATCTGTGATGATAGAGAAGAAGATCGGGGCGCATTGAGCGCCGCCCTTTCAGCATTGCTCATTCCTTTACCTAATGCAAATGCATTTATCAATGTTGCTCAACCTTTTCATAAAATAATAATAATAATAAAAAAAGTAATTACCTAAGCTTGCCGCAGTTGCTGGCGATGCTTGGATAGGAGTAGCAGGCGCTGGCGACGGACCCCTGGAAGAGTTGACAGACTTTGGACCAGTCACGGCATGCGGCGTCGTGACCCCTTCGCTAGATAGCCTTGGGGTCCCGTTTTGCTGCGTCGACTGATTTGGCTGAGCAGTCGGTTGTTGCTGAGGTTGTTGAATAAAGCTGGATGGGGACGGGGTGATCCTATTAGGCTTTAACAGTTCATTGAACTGATTCTGCTGGTTTGTGCCAGCGGGAGATATTTGAGGCAAACTGACTGGACCATTGGTCACAAACTGACTGTTCCCCGCCGATGTGCTGCTTTGCGAGAGGGGATTACTGAACGGTGATAGACCCGGGTTAGACGTAGTCGGACTGGGTCCCGGTAACCCAACAACGTTCTGCTGTTGAATTTGATTTTGCTGAGTGGCCGCACTCGTTTGCTGTACCGGGAACACCATCTGATTTGTCTGTTGGTTCAGAACTCCCAAACCTTTGTAAAAAAAAAAATGAATTTGACACTTTAATATGTAAGAAAAATTATCCATTCTCTCCTACTTTAGACACACAAGATAAAAAAATGGCTATGCCAATATTTATACTTGAGAGAAACATATGACTTTATAGCCAGGGAATTGTTACTGGTTAAACTTATGCTGTAAGGGGGAATGTAAACACGTGGATAGTCAGATTTATCATAAATAAAGCATAGAATAGTGCTTCAAGAAGGAAATAAACAAATTGAATCAGATATGCAACAAAATCGGTATAGCACGGGAAAGTAATCGCAATACAAACATTATGCTGAGGACACAAACTTCATACCTAATTTGAATTTTACAAATCGTAATAACAAATGAAGAAAAATCTTTTTTCTTTACAGACAACTAGTTTGAATAGAGTATAAAACTAATTTTTAAGAAGAAAACTCTACAAAATTGAAAAACCTAACAATATTGTACTAAGAGAAAGGAATTTTAAATCAGACAATACCAAAAAAATTTAAAGCATATTATTTATATTAGATATACAGATGTTTAACGCTGACCAACATAGGTTATGGAATAAGAATAGTATCTAAGTATAAGATTCTAAACACAGTGAAAATTGCAAATGCAAATTGAGTCGCTTTTGAGATATAGTGTGTTTGTTTTGGGACAGTAGGTCAGAACAATAGAGAGCCTTTGTGGTTCAAAAATAATCAAAAAGTTGTTCCGCTCGCAATTTGAAACATCCGCAATCAAACTGAATATTCGCGAATGTATTCTCCGATAGCGGTGTTTCTAGACATGCCCGCTTTACCTGCAAACTCAATATTTACATGTTGAACCTTTAACCAACTCATTCTATCTGCATAAGAGACAATAAAGCTTTATTAGTGGCTCTGTTATTTTTTTGTGGTGTGCGATTTGTGGAAAATGACCGAATGAGACAATTACGATGAAAGCTGGAGGTTTGTAGATGGCGAATTATTAAATGCAATTTAATGTAATTTTTATTGGGTCTACTGCAGGAACCGATAAGACATTTTTACAGTATGCCCTCAATCCGGCAATTGAAACTGAATTGCAATCCACAAAGGCACTGAATCGCGAACTATACCAACCGAACTATTTTTTTAAACAATATCAACACATACATTAAAACAATGCAACCATTCTCAAATTTACTTGCAAACAATAGTAATATTTTTTCCGTCAGAAGTTTCATTGAATTGTAAGATCGCCAATTAATAATATGAACTTCTCATCTGACAGTATAATAAATTGATGCGACTTCGTTTGGTGCAGTTGTCCATATGCAAGCTTTATATGGGCGGCAAAAAGTTACATTGTGAAAATCGGGCGGTAAATTTTTTAGATGATAGTTGTTAACTAAAAAAGCACTCACAATAAATTAATACCCAAACCAACACTAAATAATGTCGCTTTAAACAATTTTGCTGATTCGTCTTTTCAGTGCTAAGATTACTAGAAAAAACATGCTGCTAATCCATGCACAATGTATCCGTCCTTGAAATTCAGATATAAAGAACTAAAAGAAAATCGACAAGTTGAAAAGTAAGGTTAAATAAAGGTTGACGAATTTAATGTCAACTATACAGTTTACACATTTTCCATGGCAACACCTCGTAAACCGCAAAGAAGAAGAATTTTCTATGGTAAAGTCGGAATTATGCCCATTTCTAGTGAGTTTTAAATTTTCAAAATAATTCGGTAAGTTATAGAGTAAAAAATAATCTTTAACTGGTACTTTTAAAAATGAAATTAAATTTCTATGCACGGAACTTGGCCTGAATATTTTCCTGGTAACATATTTTTATCCAACGCCATACAGTGAAAATGTCACTTTCAATTTGAAATCTGTAAATTGTAATAATCAGCGAACACGCATTTTTGGCAACTAGCATGACGCCATTACAAATGAGTATAATTTCGACTATACAGAAACGTTTGAAACTGACGTACTTATAATCTCACCTTCCTAGAGGAAGAACTTTTCAACGTTAATGCACTTTATTAGTATAACCTAATATTTCGCACCTCTTTTTTCGGCACATTTAATTTCTTCATGCAAAAGGAGTGGTCTCTATGGTCTTTACACATTTGACTAAAGTAAATTTTTGACTAACGTCTGGCCCAATGGTGACCTGATTCCCGAATTTTAAAGAATAGTGTCTTCGCAGCACATGTAAATATGAAATGGCGCTAAATTTAAATAAAAGGCATTACATGTAGGCTACTTTCAAGCAATCATTTTTAGATAGATATTTTACAAGATTGTACACTTTTTTTTAACTGGATGTAAAATTAAATTATTTTAAATTTGTATTTCAATTTTTTTGCCAACATATATTTTTATCGAGCAATTTAAAAGTGAAAAATAGAAAAAATTTCATGTAATCTCTTGTAACAATAATAAAAAAAAACTATGTGTAATAAAAAACTTTATTTAAAAAATAAAAATATATATGAATACTTGACCTCAAAACTTAATTTGTGTGTGTCCAGATCTGCTGGTGAATTTATTGGGATCTTAGAAATTACAGACAGCAAAGAGGTGAAATGGAGGAAGTTTTATAAAAAAAAAATTTTGCAATTAAATTCCGTTCAGTTTGCGATTTTATTTGTTTTAGTTTTTGAGATATTAAATACTAAAATGGTGACATTAACGTAAGAGATGTCTGTGTTATTACATTTTATTAAGAAGTTTCGTTTTTTTATAAGCATCATCAACTTTGTTTTTCAAATAAGGGCATGAATTTTTTATGTCGGATTTTAAAAGCTCCTGATGTCCCAAAAACCACTTATTAGAGCGCTTCATATTTGTGGTACTTTCCATAAGAAATCAATGTGTAAGAAAGAGACAGAACAACGATTTTTGGCAGAACTTTAAAAATAAATAAATAAAAATTTTTCTAAACGTTTGAAAAAACCAAAAGAAATAAAACCGCGTACTGAAAGGAACTGAATTGCAGATAGAATTTTCTAAAACTTTTTCCATTTAGCTGTTTGTATATCTCTAAGTTTCCAAGATCGCAATACATTCACCGCCAAATCTGGACACACTGTATACCTACAAAAATTTCCAAAATTTAAATAAAAACTACAAACTTTTACGCTAAAAATACAGACATGTTTTGGATAAGATCAATACATAATTATAGAGAAAGTGCTATTGATGCCATAATAATAATAATTATTATGCTTCTGTCGTTATAAGGGTGTCTAGATATAATTATATACACATCCCTCTATCTACTTGCCCAATATCCGGACATCTAAAAAATCAAAATCATATCTAAACATTTATATATAAAAATTATCTAAGAAACTACCAACTAACCAAAACTCATTTTAGTATATTATAGAATATGACTTATGTGCAGGTTTCTTGAAGGACAAAATAGGTTTTTTGAACTGGATTTAGGGAATTTATAACTTTTGTGCGTTTCACGTGAATTACAACTAGATACAATTTCATGATATTGTTGTAAAAGATTCTGTTTTCGTGTTTGCGATAGGTTTTGCAGATAGTTGGGCAATAATTACACTGGAATCATTTTCATTCTCATAGACTTCATACTTGGTGAGTTTGGTGTTACTAATAACAGAACATTTTAAAGGCTACTTACTTTTCTATTGGCATAACTCATCCATTGCAGAAAGTATCAACTGATGCCATTTCACTTTCATACTCACCCAAACCCCATTTTTTTATTAACTCTTGTGGTTTTGACTTGAGTTTCAAGATTAGAGTTCGATCATGTATTGTTTTAATTTTTCAATTTAAACTATTCCTGTGCATAAAGTTCTTCTTATTCGAATTAGGGGAACACTTTTTACATAGTAAAGGCGTCAATTTTGTTACATTCTTTGGGTGGGACTTCATCGCGTGTATTCCTAAGTTAGAAAATTTACTAAAAATGTTTGACATTCTCGTAACTGTAATTTCATTTTACACAATATTAATTACTTAAAAACCTTATTAAAAACGAAAAATGTAACTAATAACAATCGTCGTCACGAAATAAGCAACGTTAAGTTTTTATTTAAGTTCCGATGTGACGGGGAGTCAACTTCACCGGCGGGCCAGACGCTAGTAAATTTTTGTAGCATACACATTTAATAGTTTCTTTTTCGATTTTTCAAAAATGCAGAATATTGCAAGGCGAATGTGTAGTTTGGCGACCTTACCTAGTGCCGCTGCGAGAGGTCTAAATCCTTTTTTAAATCGCAATATGTGGGATATAATTCAAATTTCTACATGTATTTTTAAAGTATAAAAATGCATGTACTTTTAACTGGGAATTTTCTGGTGCAATTTTTTCAAGCAAATTAGGCCTTGATTATTTTGGTGGCATTTTGTTTTCAAGGGTTGTTCTGATACAATAAATGATGTTAGTTTTGGTTAGTGGTTTTGTTTATTAAATTTATTAAATGTTTATTAAATTAATGGACCAAAGTTTTATACCATATTCTACGTCGAAAATAAGCTCCAAAAAACTAATTTTTTATAAATCTTCAAACCACTCTACAAATTTCATTGACATTTTATATATCGCTATCAAGCAGTAATGTGGTAATGTAATGCAGTAAATGAGAACATTTTTTTTTGCGCTGTTTTTTTCAAAAACTTTTTGAGGTTTACAGCACCAACCATTCCCATAGGCAATTATTTTACCCTTATTAATATGAGTCCAGAGAATAGGAATTTTATATAGCTGCTAATGGATTACGAGGGCTGTAAATGTGGCAAAATTACTAAACTCCAGATACTTATGAGATATTTATCCGGGATTGAAACATCAAAAACGCATGCACATAAATTTCATACATTGCGCTACATTTTTCGGCATTTTTTTAAACATAAATGTTCACACATGCCTTGGCTCTCTCTCGCAATATTAAAAAAATGAAATACATCATACATTGCGCTACATTTTTCGGCATTTTTTTAAACATAAATGTTCACACATGCCTTGGCTCTCTCTCGCAATATTAAAAAAACTGAAATGAACTACGCATGGGCATATGGAATATTTGTTCTCAACATTTTTTGATCTTAACGGACTGAGGTACACTAACTACTAAAAACATTACTCATAAAATCTCAAATCGTTCTCTTTTTTACAATAGAGATAGGCTTACGCCAATGTAGGGAAGCTTTTAACATCGAATTCACGTGCGTCTTGTATTATGTCTGCTTTGTTTATTTTTTGTGAGATAAGTCACTTTATGAAAGTAAAAACGTGTTTTTGGATATTGCAATTACAAAGACCGAGAGCAAAAATGCCGCAATTCTGTGCAGTTTGCAAAGAGCTAGGACGGTAAACAAGTCGAAGACGTGTTTCGTAGACAGGTGTTGTTATTTTCTTATTTGTGTTATTTGTGTGTATTATCTGTTGTAGATTTTCAAAAAAGGTTCAAAGGCATTGGCCTTAGATGTGGTTTGCATTCTAAAAATTTAAACATTGTTACATGATAACACCAAACGTCCATCTCATGAATTATTTTGTCCCACTTAGGTGAGTACAGTTTCTATGAATGACTTATACTTATAACAATAATCTTTTAGTTTGCATATTGGCTGAAAAATCTTGTTAATTTTACTAAAAGAAATGATAATGCAAATTTAATTTTTTCTAAAATATAAATTCACACTAGGCTGCACAAGTCTTTCAAATTTATAACAAGTCATTATCAGGACAAATTGTTACACAACAAATGTTCTTTTAATGATAGTAAATTGATTTATTTTCTTCTACTCAGAAGAATATTTATAAACTAACTTCATTTTTACACACAACTTTCTTAGAACAAAATCCTGCGGATCCTAAAAAATGAATTGTCCAAATGATTTTGATATTGAATTTAGTTACATAGCTGCTAGTGACAATTGTCACCACTTAATTTCTGCAACTCACTAGCAGAATCACATTATCCATGTGCAAAATTTACTGCCAATAACAAAAAATGAAAAATTATCCTACCTCCAATACTGTTGGCACTGATGGTGGGAGAGCCGCTGCGAAGCTGTTGCTGCGGCACGATAGAACTGGGCACTGCCGACCTCACAATGCCCTGCAAGTTTGGCCTTATAGGTTGCTGCTGCTGCTGCTGTTGCTGCATCTGCTGTTCTTTCCTCTTCTGTCTTTTCTCTTCAAGTTCTTTTTGAATTTTATAAATCTTCTCGGCCAAGAGGTGATAGTATTCCGACCGGCTATTGGCCATTTCGTACATATCACCCTCGACTTTCCTCGCATACGCCACCAAGTTATGCATGCGCTTGTCAAGAAGGGCTTGCGGATCAGGAGTGGGGAAAATTGCCTGAACCAACTTATGAACTAGGTGGTTCCTTAAGTCGGGCGTTACTGACTGGTGCCATTCTTTGGTTCCCGATACGGGAGATGCAGTTACCTGACTTGGCTGGAGACCGCCGGGCAACTGTAAATAAGGCAAGAAATAGGTAGGATTGCATCATTTATTTGGTCTAAAAAAAGAAAAAGATGTTGAAGATTTAACGCCTGCTTGCAATTAATCTTATTTCCGAGAAGTATCGAACATACAAAAAGATTTATATCATTTTATATATTTATATATTTTATATCAATAACCCTGACAGAGAGAACAAGTATCAAAGTTTTGAGAAAATAGTACACCATATAGTAAACCATTACATTCCTATGCAGCACTACAATTTTTTTCTTAAACAAACGAATTTGAAAACAACCTTACAAAGCAGGCAGCCAGAAAGTTTTACCAATACATTTCACTCATTAGAATCAGAGCACATTAATTTTGCCTTGCTTGACAGCTCTGGTGCGTAAGAAACTGAGTCAACTAATGATTACAGAACTATTTGCTGAAAAATTGTGTTTTCCTGCGTTACCCTTATAAACTCTTACTGAGGCATCAATTTCAGAAATAAACTTCACCGAGGAAAAAGTTCTAACTCCCAGCTTAAGTTTCATGCTAGTTCTAGTCCTGAAAATGTGGCTCAAGTTTTTCATAGGAAGTGTTCATCGACAATAAGCAAACTGATGTCTCAAATGATGAGTGAATCTCCTCCAGTTGGAAAAAGACAATAGTCATTCCCATACACAAGAAAGACACCCCTAGAGGAGACCCCGTATCATCTGCTCACCAAGTGCCCTGCTTTGACATGGGCAAGATTGGGAGTATTCGGAACGGCCTTGATCGATCCAGACTCAGTGCACAGTATTGGGCTAAAGGAGTTGCTGACCTTCTATAGGAGGGGCGGCATTCTGGACGCCCTGTAGAGCGGCCTCGTGGCACAACGGGCCCATCTATTGGCCTAAGTGCCAATCAATGTATCAATACCAATACCAAGACAATCAATATTTAGCAAACAACTATCGACCAATCAGTCTAACTTCCACTCCCTGCAAAGTTATTGAAAAAATAATTGCTTGCACTCACTGAATTTCTAACGACAAATCATCAGGATTTCCTTGGCAACCAGTATTCTACCTAGCTTTCTACCTCGAAGATCTGTTATTTCAAACCTAAATTGCCAATTTGAATTGTGGACCTAGACCCAGGATAAGCGATATCCAGTAGATATAATATACCTGGATTTTGAAAAAGCTTTTCACACAGTCCCCCTGGCAAGATTTGTTTCGAAACTACAGCACAATGGTATAACAGGTAAACTGCTGCAATGGATCAAGGACTACCTTTCATGTAGAACATTCCAAATGAGAATAAATGGCTGCCTTTCTTCAGATTTTGAGGCCTCAGGGAGCAGTGCTGGGGCCCCTGTTATTCATAATATATGTCTGCGGCCTTGATGAGCACATGATGTGCAATGTTAGTATGTATGCTGATGATACTAAGATTTTTGGAGACCCAACTTTACAACATGAACACCTAGTTGAAGATTTAGCTAAACTGGAAATATGGACAATGGACTGGCTGCTGCGTCTCAAAGCACACAAATGTACAATGCTACATATAGGTCATAATAATCCTCCATTTGACTATGGTACAAATGACAACAGACAGACAGACAGTATTTTAATTTTATTTTAATAATTTAGTTTTAATATCTGAGACCTTAAAATAGGAGGGTCGGGTTAATGGACTTTTTTCATCAAAATGACAATAACCTAAGGGGCCATTCACTAAGATTGTGTACTGAAGACTTCCATGCCGAATATTTATAACAAACATCTACCCTGAATAGCTTTAGGAATAGATTTAATAATTTTGTAAATAAACGGTGAACGCAGTGACAACCTCAATGTGTGACTTCTGTATATAGTCTATATGCAGATACTAAAGTGCAGTTTTACCCGCTTTGCCGCCTACGGTCTAATAGTATAATAATAATAATAATAATTTTATTTCCAACATTATTTGCACATAAATCTTGGGGTATTCAAAATTTGGACTTAAATTATTTATCCTAATATGAAATACTTACTTGGTTTACTAGATTTTGATTTGCACCCTCTGCCCCACTGGTTAGCCCGAACATAACGTTGTTAACGCTTTGTTGCAAATTCGCAGCAGTTTGACTGACGCCTTGCGCCTGCGCGACAGCGTTCGCGGCAGGATCGCTTCCTAGGGGTAGGCTCACGTTGGGTGCCGCACCAGTTGGACCGACCCGCAAGACCCCCGTCGCGCATCTGTTTTGTAAGTTTGGATTAGCGTTAATCGGTAACCGAAGTCCCGATCTCGGCTGGCATGCGGCGGGTATAAGCCCTGCGGGATTCGGTCCCGACATAGTAGTCGGACATTGAATGCCTAAGGCGTCGTAAGCACGTCTCATTTGCGCTTCGGAAGGGTTAGTGGGCGGCGGTTGAGGCGGATTTTGGGTCGGCACCGTGGCCGGATTATTTCTATTTTTATCGGCTTGTTTGAGAGGTAGGCACACGGGGCAGTCTGTACGGATACAGTTTTTCCAATGGCTGATGATCTGCCTAGATGAACTACAGTGTGCCACAGAGCAGCTTTTGCCCGCGTTACATGTGGTCATGTGATTAAGTACGTTCTTCATCGTTTTACAATGCGGCAATGTACATGTCCAGACCTCCCCGTTAGCTTGATTTGATTCTCTTCGTTGACATTTATGGGCATGGAGCAGGAGCACTAACTGCTGCTGGATTAACTTCCTTTTCTCCGGATCTATGGTAAAGACCATAAATATACCAAATTCGAAATATACATAGAAAAATAAAAGAAAATTCAAGTTTGTTAAAAAATTATACTAGTTCGCACTTTGGACATTTGATTGAAAAGAAAAGTCACCCTGGCAATTTACATTTAGTACAATACAAAATATTCATAATAAAAAAAGGATCAAATATGCTTTAACCTATCAGATTTTAACATACCGTTTCTATTTTTTAAATGCAAATGGTAAGTTAAGAAACTCAAAATTGCTCCAAATAAAATCATTTTTGTTTTCAGAAAAAGCAGTGGTGTGTGTTGTTTTTGTGTCTCGAAATTATCAAGCGTGAATGGTGTTGGCAAAATTTAAAAAAGTTGGGGATACAAAATTATTTGATGTTTTTAGAAGCATATTAAAAAAACAGTTTCTTGTTTCAAAACTTTAACACCCATCTACATCTTAGAAAAAACAATGGGGTTTCTAGTTCATGTTCATAATAATATTAGTAAAATTAATTGATCATCAAAATCAATAATAAACAACAAATTTTTTCTGGTACATTTTTTTACATTTTTAGAATTTCAAAATTTATTTTAAAAAATAATAATAATAATTAAATACAAGCTTTTAGTCAAAAGTGAAATATTGCAAGCAAAAATATTACTTACCAGTAGAGGGCGCGGGAGGAGCGCCAGGTTGATTAGTTTGGTTTTGTGTTGCCTGCTGGGGACCAGGCTGAGATCCACTAGGGGCGCCTGACTGTGGTTGAGCTGGAGACGGTGCAGGAGGCTGAGTTTGCACTAGTCCCCCATCTCCTCCACAACTCATAGGCCCCACCGGCCCGGCTGGAGGTCCTCCAAAACGAGGACTGGTTCCCGGTATGTTTATCTTTTGTTGTGGTGCAACTCCTAAAAAATGTACATCTGTGTTAGCGGATATTCTTTTCATACTCTTATCAATAACTAGGTTACTTACCAACTTGAACATTTTGACCAGTGTTTGGATTAGCATATTGATAAGGAGTATTGCCAGGTATTCCCTGATTGACTGGTCCACCCAGGAGAACATTAGGCGATTGAAGTCTCGCTCCAATGTGAATGCCATGGGGACCTGGGGCTCGTTGGTGCATATGAGCAACTCGATTAATCATAGGTCCATTTTGAAGGCTTTGAGGAACATTATGGTTCCCCTGGAGGTGTGGTTGGTTAGTCATTAAGTTCGGAGTATTTGAGAGTTGAGGTTTGCTCACTGCTCCACTGGTAACCACGAGGCCGCCTCCGGCCATGTTACCCAATGAGCTTATGCTGCTGTTGGTCATTATCATGCTATTGGTAGCGCTATTATTCAACCCTAAAATATACCCCTTTATAAGTACATACAACTATTAGGGCAATAGCAAGAACAATAATCTATAGAGGCCTCTATATGGTCCAACAGTTATGTATTACCGACAGTTTTTTTTTACAATAAAAAAATACCAGTTGTTACCGCACCTGGTATTGAGCTCATAACCTGAGGGCTGCTTCCATTATTTGCTACTGACTGAAGCACTGAAGTGTTCGATATGCTCGAGGGCAAACTGCCAAGATTCATTTGATCCACCACGACACTCTTTGCCACAGACACATTGGGGGGAGATTGTAAATTGGGACTTTTGCTGCCCAACTGACCCCCAGGCAATAGAGCATTACTAACCAGTCCCTTATTGCTCTGAAAACATTATTTCATTTTTATATAGAATCAATATTTGCCATGGTTAATTATCTAAATTACCTGCTGAAGCATATGATTGATCTGCATCTGTCTTAAATTGTTAGCGTCGACGTTCTCAATCCCATTTTGGAGACCTGGACCAGGTCCTTGAGCCGGGGGTTTGGGATTCCCAATATTCTCAGTAAGGTTCCATGAGTTTGAAGATATATTGGAAGAGATAAGTTCATCTGGGAGATCATTTTCTAAGTCAAACATGTCCATATTTGAAAGCACGTCTGCGAAAATTAAACCATATTTTAAAACATTTTAAAAGACCTTCTATTTTATGATCATATTGTAAAATTGAGAGCCTCGTGGGAGAACCCAAAAATGACGACAACATTGGTAAATAATTATCAAAGAGCTGGTTAAATCCTGGCAATATTATTTTAATAAATATGTGTGGTAGATGTACTGAAAAATAAAGATAAGTTAAAACACATTTCTCATAAAAAAAAAAAGGAGAATGAAACAAACACAACCATTCGCTACAAATGTTTGGACAGTATAAGCTGGAATGAAGTCAAGTATGTTATTGAAAATAAAAACAAAGAATGGTATCCCAATCTGTAAGAAAATAAATCAATTTGTACGCAACAAACCAACATCAACCACAGGAACTACCGCAAACCATTAACAAAAACAAAATCCTATTTCCCCAAAAACTGTAAATTAATTCAAAACATGCCCATGATATTTAGTTTGGTACAAAACTCAATACAAAAGCGCTTTGTTAGTAACATGAATGCCCGGACGTTATTTTAAAGCCTTAAAACTGTGTATTTACTTTGAGTGTGGCTAAAGTTCCATTGGTGTCTCGGATTGGACACACCATCACACAGACCAGATTGTGTAGACCCCAAACCGTAGTTGTTGAAAGCTAATTGTTAGAGTAATATGCATTAATATAAAAGATATAAGTACCAATTAAAAATGTGTGTAGCAAAAGGAATGTATTTCCAGAATGAGAAGAAAAAAATAACACACTTCTAAATATAATTAATTTCCATGTATTCTTTTGAAATCAATTCTATGATCTTGCAGTGTAGAATTTTGGAGGGAACAAGAGGACATTTTTTTGAATTGGTTAAAATTCTTGTTACATTTTGTGTTTAGTACTTCCGCAGCAAAAATATCTTCACACAAAATGCTAAATTGAAACTGAAAAATATTCAAACTCAAGCCCTAGGTATAACATCCAAATTTGAACGCTTGCATGTGTGCAACATGAAAATAACACAATATTAATTTTTAAGTGTAAACAAAGCACTTTTAGCAAGAGTTATTGAAGGTAATAAAAAATACTGATTACACTAAACATCTAAATAATGTATATTCTGTGTGGCAAGGAGAAAAAGGAAATTTTGAAGCTCATGCGTCAAAGTTGATATACATGCAAAAATTCATAAGGAATACTTTTTCCAAAATATGTGAAAATGTCCCTAAGTATTTAGTATACCAACACTTTCAATAAACCGTTTCAAAAACGTTTAAAAAACAATGATCGGATAACATAATTAACGCATGTCCCGCGTTCTGTGTCTCCGACATGCTACACAAGTGACAAAATAAACATCAAAACAAGGCCAAACTCACCGGAGGTGTCGGACGGCCCCGGGAAAGGGTCCAGTTTTCGCCTTTTGGCATTCGGTGGCCCGTCTACAAGATGATCGGCCATCCTATACCACAGTGCAGCGTTCTGTTTACAAAGCTAAAGCCGTAGCCACTGGCCCAAAGCTGCGACTGACCAAAGGAACTGCACTCCAACCACTATTTATCGCGACTTAAGTACATAAATCATCATATTCCGCGGAAAATATGAGAGAAACGGTGCCGTAAGTCGATAAATTGAGTCTTCGACCGTCGATGCATCTCACAAGGCACATATTTGTCAGATTAGAGTCAACCATCAGCCATCATGAATGTCGAATAGTCCGGCTGGTAGACTACACAACTTCGCGATGTCTATCACCATCTCTGACGAACCACACAATGATCTCAAACAAATCGCACTTCACTATCGCACTTCCGCGGTTTTTTCAACAATCCATATGCGTTTTGTTTCACTAGACGCTAATATAAACTACTTTTGATCGAAAATGACTGCTTTAATTTACATACAACTCCGAAACCAAAGGATTTCGTGTCAATTTCGACGCGACCTCAAACAGGCAAAATGGCGGCAGTTGATGAAACTTTTTCTACGCCTGTCAGATTGTTCCTGTCTAATAAAACCTTTTCGCGGCTTCATTGGACCGGCGAACGCACGTGACGAAAGCAGCGAACCCGATTGGCTCTATCACCCGGAAGAAACGCCATGACGTTTTGGTCGTGCTAAATGACGTTTCTGGCCGAATTTTACCGAAGACTGGCTGATGGTTGTCGAATGTGTACGGCACGGAACAAATCAAAATTTGGCGGAAATAAAAAGCCGCATTAAGTAAGTAACATAAATAAAAGTAGCAATGGCTACACCATTACACTGCTGCTGGCACAGTCTGCCATAACTTCTTAAAATATTTTCTTTTGTATTGTTGTTAATTATTTATTTGTTTATATTGTTTATGATTTTAATAGCATTGCATATCCTTTTAGTGAAGGTGAGTTGATAATCAAAATATGAAGCAAATGATGCATTATGTGAAATTACCAATGGTCCAGGGTACTAGGGTCTTATGCACTGACAATTCCAAAAAATTCGCACAACTTTAAAAGCAACTCTCTCTAATATTAGATCACTATTCGTCTTTGTTTCTGGAGCAAAGAACTGTTAAATCTTCAAGTGTGGTAACCAGATATTGTATAATAAAGTCATACATTTGCACAGGGTTTGCTTGTAGACAACAATACTTTAGTAATTGAGAAAATATGTAACATTAGTGAACTAAGCCAAAAACGAAAAACTTAAGATTTGTTTGTTCAGGAGATTAACTTTAATTACTGTTATAATATCAGAAAGGAGAAGCTATAAAACTTCAATTTTTGATGGGAAGTAAGATCTGTGCAACCTATCAAATTCATTTATTTGAATATTCCAGTATTAATACAAAATATTTTCCAGTTTTACCTCAAGAAACTTTTAACACAATCCTTTCATATATGATACCCTCCAAAAATGCGTACTCCCGAAACTATTTAAGAAAATCAAAAATGCCAAATTAGAAATGTGGAAACTTTCCAGATGAAAATTAACCTCAAAATTAACCATTTTACGATTATTATTTCAGTTTACTTAGTCATGAATAACTAACTAGTTATAAATATAAAAGGGCTTTTAAAAGGTTTTCGAAATGACATTATGATCCCTGTCATACCTGAACACTTATTTAAAAGTATAAATCAATTTTTCGCAAATAAATACAAATATTTTTTTAACCCTTTAATAGCAGTTATATAAAAGTACAAGTATATTGGGGTAGTCTACTCATATATTACAACTTTCTTAGGTATTATTTGAGTGAAGTCCTCATATGTTCTGGATAATCATCGGCACTGAAAGGTTTAGATGAAAATGAATGTTAAAAAGATGTGTTAAGTCATGCAATGGTATTAAATTTACTACTTACACACTCTTATCAAGCCAACTACGGATGCAAAAATAAACAAATTTGTAACGACGGATTCCCTAGATTTCCTTCTTTCTTCATCGGGATCTCTTGGGGCATAACTTCCTTGCAATCGCCTCATCTTCAGCTCCTATTTCTGTTAAGCTAAAATTTCTGTTTAGGTTAGAAATAAATAATTAGAAATCTGTTGAAAATTAAAGTTATAGTTGGGTGCACAGTTATGAAAGAATGATTGTGGCTAGTCTAATTAGAAGAGGTTTTCAAAAATTTCGAAATGTTTAATTGGATGCAAACTTAGTTGCAAAAGATAACTTAAGTGTAACTAACTTGTACACCTGGTTTTCATTTTCTTGTTATAGAACACAAACAATTTTATGGTGTGGGAAGCAGACCGTATTTAATTTAATTTGATTGATACCTTAAAATATGTTTTTGTCAAAAGGTGTGGTTTAGTATTGGTTAATAATCAACAAAAGATTTTTTTCCGGATGTCGGCAATGGGTGATTCACCCTGGTAAACTTCGCCAATTTTTATGCTTAACGTAGAGGAGAGAGAATGAAAATTATACCATGGGTTCTTTTTTTATAGTTATGTTACTTCTACGGTTTGATAGGGAATAAACATTATATTTCTTCAAAAATCGAAGTTCCAAATGGGCGACGAAACCCAAAACTATAAAATTGCTCCAGAAAATGGGGACGCGGGCGTTAATCAAGACGAACTTATTTTAGCTCAACAACGCCAAATTGAAAAAGAGGTAAATTTGCACACATTGCAATATTTTAATTTTTTAAACAAATTATACTCTGTTTTAATATGTTTTATGCAATGGCTTTGATTTTCTTTTCAGATTTCGGACAGCATAGCTTTAGTAGGCGATTTGGAACCTATTATGTCATTGAATGCCGAATATGCCAGTGACAAAATTTACCTGGAGAAAGTGAAAGATTTAGCTTCCCGATATCAGTACATTAGAAGAACCCGACCAGATGGAAATTGCTTCTTTAGGGCTTTTAGTTTTGCCAACATAGAAAGACTATTAACCAAAAAGGATGAATTCAATAAATTTTATAAATTGGCTGAAGATAGCAAAAATGTTTTAGTTGCATTAGGATTTCAACAGTTTACAGTTGAAGACTTTTATGATACTGTATATATTTACTTTGTGATGTGTTATGTTCTTATATATGTGTATTTGCAGTATATGGAAGTACTCAAACGTTTGGGTGCTATAGAAAATATTGAGGAAGCAAAAAAAGAGTTACTTACCCTTTTTAATGAACAAGGTTATTCTGATTACATGGTTGTCTACCTGAGGTTGCTGTCAAGTGGTCAGTTACAAAAAGAACAAGACTTTTATAGTTGCTTTATTGAGGGGGATAGATCAGTAAGTATTTTAAATTAAAGGATATTGCCATGTAATAGCGATTTTTAGGTTGCAGACTTTTGCCACCAAGAAGTGGAACCCATGTATAAGGAAAGTGACCATATTCACATCATGGCTGCTTGTTCAGCACTTAATACAGGTGTTAGAGTTATTTATATGGATCGAGGGACAAGTAATACTTGTATACAGCATGATTTGCCTGAAGGCTGTGTTCCAACTGTACATTTGCTCTACCGTCCTGGTCACTATGACATATTGTACCCATAGATTTCATTTTACTGTATATTTTAATATATTTGGTAATTTTTGATTCCTTCATTCAATGTCTTGTATGGTTCAATACATAATAAATTTCTTTATTGGTTTTTTATTGCTACATTAGATAAACAAGTTGATAAAAAAAAGTTTTCTCTGGCTGATATTCCAGAATTACTCGAGCAAAAAATAAAAATTTGAATGAACCCGTGAGGGTTGAAAAAATATAATACAGGTAATAGGACGTTTTTATAAATCAGTTCTAAGTACATAAAAGGAAATGGCAAACATTAAGGTGTTTTTGTATTTTTTCGTCAGTCCTTATTTAGTGGATAATCATATCTAATGTATCTAAAACATGTCAAAGGTAGGTCAAAACTTCAAACAATAATTTACTTTTTAATGGGTATATAAACCTTCAGTCAAAAATGTGGTTATATAAATGTATTGAATATATAAAAATTATCTACTAGCAACATTTAGAAATAACACTCCCTTTTTAAAACTAATTTTGTTGTCTACGATCATAATTTCGTTCATCCATGCCATCACTTTCTGTAACAAGTGCCCTCTCCAAGATAACTCTGCCTTCTTTGTATTTCTGATTATCTTCAGTGGCAAATTCATACATCCACCCAAGCTTGCAATCACATGATTTACAAGAAACATCTCTGACCTACAATACGTTCCTAATAAACTTAAATAGAATTCATGCTGGTGCCATTACCATATGTCGCCCAGTAAGCATAACCCGATCTTGGACTTCACTGTAAGTTAAGTTCACAACGCGATTGAAGAGAAATGCTCGACCAGTCGCTCCGGTAAACCTAGTGCTAATCAATTCAGATCTATTCGTTAGATTGGTGTCGCATCTCGCACAAGAGAACAGCCGATTTCCGCCCATGTGCTCCAAGAATATGCGACCCATTGTTCTGAAAAAAAAAAAGGTTTTGCACGACTTTCGCTTCTCAATGGTAAAAATATTGTAACCTATTCTCTTATGACGAATTGTATATTATGATGCTCACTAAATCTGAACCACTGTAAAAAACAATTGAAAAAAATATATTTTATAAAGTTTTTGTTTACCTCATGTCACAAATGTCATGGATAAATAACATTTACAAATTCAAAACGAAAATGCACAGTTTATGCTAAACACAGATGAAGTAGAAAGCTGGCTATCATGGAAAAAGGAAACAAATGAAAATGAAAGTTCATACATTTATTAAAGCTGCGTTTAAGTATTGTTTTGCTTAAACCAAACTTAAAATACTAATAAAAGCAATAATTGATATTTGTTGTTTTTATAAATATCCAAATATTGACTACAAATTGACTTGACTACGTCTTGTTGCGAATGATCTTAATATGTACGGTTCTGCATTTTAGATATCTCGCGCCATGATCTTAAAACATGTACGTGTTTCTTATAATAAATAAAGCTTAAGTCATAAAGTCGCTTCCTATTGTATTGTGCGTCGAAAGATGATGTTCTAAGAGCTTTCAGAGCTATGGCAAGTTCCTGACCCACAAAGAAATCCTGTGATAAATTCACCGTTCCTCGTTTGGAAAACAAATCCGTATTATAACGACGATATATCAAATTCTGTCTGTGTGTCGGGTCTAAAACTTTATGTAAATTACAACATAAAGGGTAGCTCAGTATCGGGCGATTCTTTTATATCTCCATAATAGTTTATTTTATCAAAACTTTTTAAATACAAAAGTTGTTTGTTTGGATGTGCTTAAGCGATGGAAATAATTGCCATATATATTATATCTTACAGCACTCAACTTCCTTATTTTTCTTAACTCTTCCAAATAGTTTCTTAAATATCTTGGTTAGTTTAAAAATGTTGAAAGAAATAACATCATTTTGAACAATGCGCCTTTTAACCATTAACTAATTAACAAAAGAATCGCTTAATAAACTCTAATATTATTAGCGTAATACACTTTTAATGTCCTTCTGGATTTAAAGTAGTACAGGTATCGTCAACATAATTCAATAATTCATCTCTATTTTGTACAGGCCTTAGAAAGAGAAGGTATACTGGTGCTTTTGTACAATATCGGAGTGGAAAATTCAAGGACTACAAATCGGGTTAATTGGACTGTCAGTTCCCTAACTTTTCTTAAGTAAATAAAACCAAGAACATAACTTGGTCAAATTCGCTGTTAACTAGAAAGAAAATTGGGGTTTGATTGTCTTTTGGTAAAGAATATATGCAAGAAAATTGTATAGGATAGGGAAATATACGGAGTGTCGCATTTGAAAATAGTTTGAAGTTTTACATCGTTGAAAATAATGTAATTCGTTGGTAAATTATGGAAATCCTGTAAGCGATAAATCAAGTGTCAATAACAATTTCAAAAGGATACGACACAAACGATTACCACAAAATAAAAAGACACACTGGTTGAAGATGGTGTTTCAACTTTCAAAACTTTTAAATTAATCAAAATATTGAAGACACTATTGAGCTTAAGTACAGGGAAACACGAAGGAACCTTCCATGAAATTTTCTTAGAAATAAAAATATGAAGTAGTATACAGCGAGTCACATTTAAAATAAGGAAGTTGGGTGCTGTGAGATACATATAAGGAGTGAACTACCCTGTATATCTAGGATCAGTCGCGCTATACGGTAATGAATAGTGATAATGAAAGTGCGTTTTTTGCAACAGTTTTATTACGATTACGATTTAATTTGAAATCATTATGGGATTATATAATGCAAAAAACTAATTTCGTGACAGAAAAATATCTATGAGCCTATAAGATTTGATGAATTGAAGATGATTTAGTAAGATGTACGTGAAAGTAGTTTTTTGCTTTTTTCTGATAAATATGAAAATGCACATTTTAATTAGAATAAACAGTTTAATCCTTCGTTAACATTACCTACATATGATTATGTGCAATTAGATCTTCAATTAATGCAAGAATGGTGGGTATGCGAAATGGGATACTTCGTTTATGTTCTAATGAAGGTCCTTCCCCCTAATAAATTTCAGCTAATTGTTGTTTGCAAAGTTGAACGTCGACTGTATAAATTACACAACAAGTGTGTATACATGGTTTGATGTATTATCAAGGATATGGGAATATTTTATTCGTATATATGTAGTGAAACCTAGAACACATACAGGGTGTTTGAGAAATAGACGGAGATATATTAGAGAGCGATTCGATATGATATGAAAAAATATTATGTGATGCAACAAGTGTGGTAATAGTATTTTATGCAACAAGTGCAGTAATATCCCGGAAATGTCCGAATAAACGAGTGAAGTAAACAATTAGATTAAAATGATCAAGCCTAGTGGCATCTGTAACATAAAGTACACTATAACAAATTTTAGAAAAGTCCACCATGTATTTCCGTACATCTTCTCACTCAAGCTAAAATTCGAGGTCCATCAATATCTTATCTCTTCGCAAGCATTCTTCATAATTCTTCATAATTCTGTTATTTCTATGGAAGTAGGTTAAACCATCGTCCCCATAATTGGTATTGGTATTGGTAATAAAGGGGTCCAAGCACTTGGGACATCAGATGGGCTCGTTTGCCCCCAGACTGCGCTAGAGGGCGTCTAGAATGCCGCCCCTCATATAGAAGGTCAGCAACTCCTTTAGCCCAATACCGTGCACTGAGTCCGGATCGATTAGGGCTGTTCCGAAGCTCCAAATCTTGCTCATCTCAAGGCAGGGCACTCGGTAAGCAGATGGTACGGGGTCTCCTCTCCTTCCATACACCACCTGCACTCAGGGTCGTCTCCAATGCCTAGCAAGCAAAGATGTTAGTGCTCTACACTCCCTTCTGGTCAGTCTAAGCAGCTCCCTGGTCCGATGGAGGGCGGGCCCATCCATCATAAGCCTCGTCTGCCTCATTCCCGGAGCAACCCTCCAGCCCACTGCGACCCGTTCTCACACCCAGGCTCCGACAGCTCCCCGCCTCACGCACGGGGCGATCCCCAAGCGGGGCTTTGGTCCCATATGCCTGTGCGAGGAGCCCTGACATTCCTCGCCTCGGCCATTTTCCTTGGTACTCCTTTGCACTCCTTTATCAACAAGGAGGGCGTGCGCACTGACTTCAGAGCCATAAGTGCAGCCCTACTATCAGAGCTGAAGAATACTCTCCTGCTTCCGTGGTTGAGCCGAAGCACCTCTCTGGCCGCCATCAATATAGCGAAAATTTCCGAATGAAACACAGGGCAGTACTAACCCAGAGGGACCGACAAGCTCGATCCCGTTGTCTCGCAGTACGCTCCAGCTCCGGCCAAATCTCCCATTCTGATCTCGTCCGTGTTCTGCACCCGTCCGTGTACCAGACAAGTCGATCCCTGTAGCCAACTCTGCCCTCCCTCCACTCTTCCTTTGATGGGAAGAGAAAGGTCCATTTGTCAAAGAAGGTCATCTTTGAGATCATATCCATGACACCGCGATCCCCGGGTCAGCCTTCTAAAATGTCGTACGGGCCCCGATTGAAGGTTCCCTCTCTCCAGAGCCCGCAGCTCGATAGCCTAACAGCTATCCTGACCGCCTCCATTCGCACCCGATCCGCCAGCGAGGGCAAACCCACTAGAGCCTCTAGGGCCCTCGTGGGTGCCGTCCTCATGGCGCCCGTTATGCAGAGGCAAGCCAATCTCTGCAGTTTGTCAAGAACTAGCCTTGCTCCTGCTCCTTTAGTTTCCGGTCACCATGCCACTGCCCCATGCGTGAGTATAGGCACCACCATGGTACCGAATATCCATTTGGCATGATCTTTGGCCCCAGTCCCAAAGTGCCCCCTACCGCTCTCCGGCACGCCCAAAAAGCTATAAAGGCCGATCTGGTCCTTGATCTTATATGTTTCTGGAAGGTCAACTTGCAGAAAGAGGCACCCCATCCATAGAACTGTTGAAGTTATGCTCCACCTTCCTTTTCCTGGTGAATATGACCATCTCCACCTTGCCAGGATTGACAGCTAACTTGCTATCCCGGCACCGTTGTGAGAATCTCGCCAATGCCCCGTTCAGGAGCCCCTGCATACTTCCCACGTCCCCTGTGTCATTATCACAAGGTTGTCTGCATATGCCTGAGCATAGACCCCGTGTTCTTACCTCAGAATATGCAATATCTCGTTCACCACTAGGCACCACAGGAAGGGGGACAAGACCCCACCCTGTGGACAGCCCCGTGGTGAGCCGATGGAGATCTGTTCCCCACCCAGTCTTGCCTCAACCCTCTGGTCGGTTAGCATGGAGCGGATCCATTTTACAATGGCCGTCCCCACTCCAATACGTTTCACCGCCCTGCAGATCGAATACAGGGCCGTATTATTGAAGGCCCCTTCGATGTTAGCGAACAGGCACACCGACAGCCGTTCTGAGCCCATACCCTCCTCCCAATTGGAAGCCCAAGCCCACAGACACGCCGCTTCGGTAAGCATGCTGAGCTGGCTCTAAAGGGGCTTCCAGCTCCACCCAATCCCTCAGATACCGGTCCACAAGTCTCTCCAGAGTTTTCATAATGAAGTTGGTGAGGCAAACGGGCCGGTATGACTTCGGGTCCGTGTAGTCGTTCTTTCCTACCTTGGGAATGAACACTACCCTGCTGTATCTCCACAGCTCGGGCACGTATCCGCTCGCAATGGAGACTCTGAACAGATCTATCAGCGGGCTGGTCAGGAGACCTCCATCCCTTTGCAGCAGATCCGGACTTGACGGGGCCAAAGCTGTCAATAGCTCACCTCAGCCTACTATGGATAACAACCCCATTTGCCGTGGCGTAGTCGCATCTAAGACGACCCCCGATTACAGCACCCCCCTGTGTCTGGTCAGCCACTGTTGAAGTGTGTCCGCTGGTCCCGCTGTGTAGTCACCGCCGGTCCTGACCACTCCCAGTCTTCCTGCCGGGTCACTTTTGAGTACCCCGAAGGAGCCTAGCCTAGAGATTCCAGTCCGCACCTAGGTGGCTGCTCTTCGCTTCATTGAACAGCCTCCGCATCCTCCTCCTGAGACGCTTCAAGGAGTAATCCCCGCCCTATGTTCCTCTGTCTCAAGGCAGCTCTTCTCGAAAGCCCGTATCATAGCGGAGCTGACGCGGTCGACGGCCTCGTCAATCTCCTCCAATGTCCGGTGTT